ATGTCTCTGCTTTGTCTGCTCGGCCTGTCTCGACCATTCGGTCTAATTCAGCCTAGGCCCGTACTCCAGCATCGTAGAACGAAGAATAATTTGCTACTTCCCCGTCCCAATCTTCTAGAAATATGGCCATGGCTTGTGATACTTTGGTTGAAACAAACACTTCATCTATGGCAAGGAACGCATTAGTATGCTCGATGGGCATACTCAAACCAAGGGGCATTCCCTTGTTCAGCCATCTAGGCATCACCTAGGCATCAAGGTCATAGCGCCTTCAAATTCTTCGTGCAAGGCTTGAACAGCCTTCTACGCGAACTCCGGTGTCACTGTTGTATTCTATTCGAAAGGCTTTAAATCTTGCTCCTCGATGCAGACAGGCAGTGCGCTCCGGATCCTATGCCCTGCCTAGCGCAGGGCCTTGTTATTCGCAACTGCTTTCCTAGGATCCCGAACGCCCCCAATGGTAATATGGTTTTCCTCTTCTCTGCTCATTACCTTGGTCTTCTTCCCATCGAGCACTTATTTCTTAGCAGATGGGCCTTCTGTTATAGCCGATGGGCCTTCTGTTATAGCCTCCTTTACCATGTCTTTCCTGGCGACCAATTCATTTCTTCTCTTCAACTCGCTAACCTTCTCCTTCATGACGACCAGCTAGTTGGCTACAATGGAGATCAACGTTCTTTAGGGTAATCATTCGTAATCCCCAGGGCTCTCCAACCATGTCAACAAAGTTGCGATCCATGCGTTGCACAGACCAAAAAGATACTCTGCTGCCCGTGAGGTCTTCTACGTAGGATACCACGTCTTCCCTGTCAAGCCGCCGGGAGAATGGAAGTGCGACCTAATATCGTCGCATTTCAGATTCACTTAAGCCATCCAGCTAGCCGTAATCCGAATCCTAGTGCTCTTCTATGTATGAGTTCCATATGCGCGCTCGTCGAGCTCCATATTGTGCACTCCATTTTTCATCTTTGGCTAATCCCAGGCAAGGGACTTCCCTAGGTTTTCCATGGATCATGTCTTCCCTGCTTCTTCGACCAGATAGACGAAGGCGATCACCTTCTCCAAAATCTTGTTCCCTTCTTCAGCGGTTAGGTGGCCCCACCCTTCCGGTCTTTCTTCTGACCGTATCACAAGCATTAATCCATGGTCGTCCGATCTTCGCGCCCTTGAGAAACTCCTGGAGGGAAAAGCGAAGTGTGTGTGGTCCGCATCTAGCACTGCCTCCTTGGCTCTTGCAAAGCCTTCTTCCGTCAAGATGTCCCAGTCGCCCAGGACGTCTATAGGCGGCGCCACCTCCTTCTAACTTCCCTCGACAGGCCTGCTTTCCCTGCAAACAGCTCCAAGAACTTGTGCTTGCGGGTGCTGTCGGGCTTCTCGAATTGTCTATCCATTTCCGATTTCTTTGCTTCTTAGGTGGCCGGTGGAGTTGCCTCCACAGGCAAAGGTCCAGTCCTCATGGTTAGGCTCCCACTCGATATCTTAAGTTGGTCTGAAGCCGTCTCCTTCGCCAACGTCCCGCCATGGGGTCAATTCTTGTTCTTGCTTTTTCCCTTAACCTTGCCCTTCGACTTGGTGGACTTCTCCGGGCACTGGGAGTGGACCCTACCATCTTTGCAAGGGTCTAGACAATCTCCTGGCTTCCCTTTCGCAAATCTAAAGCACAGCTCGTGGCCCTCGGCCGTTGTGATAAACTGCTTGCCCCACTTTTGCGGGTGTTCGGAGCCACCGTCTCCCCCCCCTGTTCGCGTCTGATCCCGTGCCTCCTTCTTGAACTTCTTGTGCTTCTTCTTGCGGCCATCGCCATCGTCCTCGAGGCCCAGAGCATCTTTTGCCGGGGATGTTCACTCTCTCTGCCTTGTCCATGGTCATGTTGCGGCCTCCACGAGCCATGAACATGGTTACAGGTCCAAACACATGCTCGTCCCAGAGCTCTCTGTTTTGGGCGGCGTAAGTGAATACACCGATCCACGGTTGGTTGGGCAAGAAATCCAACCCCATGGGAAGCCGGTTGTCCGTTGCAGCTTTGGTCAGATGCCTCCGATACCTTTCGAACATTTCCGACTGACACTTGTCCTCCACCTTCATGATGAGGTGCCAGGTCTCGGGGAAGTCCTGGTTCAATTTGGCGATTAGCATTCCTCCAGGCATGCTGACGTCACCACCTTGGAAGGCTCTGGGGATGAAAAGGATTGCACGGAACACTTTCCAGCATGCTTGCCAGGCGTCGAAGGACGGTGGCCCTGGTATGTCCAGGGCCTTAAACGTCCCGTCCTGCAGCAGCAGCCATGACCGTGTCTTCAACTGTTTCTGGATGGTGCGTCCGAACGGAGTCAGGATCGAGAAGTCTGCGTATGGACTTTCTCCACGGCGGACGATCCTGTCCCTCAAGGCTGTTATCTGTTCTCCAGTGGGCTCCGAGTCGTCGCTGGGCTCTGCACCGGTCATGTCGATGTGCCACAAATGAGCTTGGTCGAATTCTAACCTTGTCATCAGGTCGATTTCTGAATCGTCCATTTGGTCTGTGACACTGGACACTTTGACCTTCTTTGTCGGTGATGCCCCTGCATGGACTGGGGCTGCTGGAGCTGGAGCAGCAGGGACTGGGTCTGCCAGTGGGTCTAGGTCCGTCATCATCAGGGATTGCCTTGCCACACGCCACATGTAAACGACATAGATCATTTCCATAGCTTGCAATTCCCGTCTATTCGGGTCGGCCCCAACTCTCACTGCTCTCAAGGTCTAGCGTCGGGTGGATGCTGGCAGCATTACAAACAAGGTGGGAGTGACTACGCCGCATTCCAGACATTTTCGCTGCAATGACAATGATTGCGAATCCGAATCATTATATATCGAGACCAACAAGGGTGGCAGCATCTAGAAGGCCATATCCAGCCATAGAATAGCCAGGCAACTAGTCCCAACACAAGGTTGCAAAGTCGACAGGCCCAATGCATACGAATACAAACCGAAACTCGGGAAATCGGCGCAAGGTCCACCAAATAACAACACATCCCACGCTCAATCCAGCAAAAAAAGCGATCAAAAGAAACAGCTCTAGACTCTAGAAATATATACACTAAACCTACCAGCGCTCGTAAGGGGCCACTTAAGAGTTAAATGAACATTCAAGTGTCATTCAAACCATCCTACAAGCAATCATGTCCAACAATTTTCATTGCGCAAACTAATTCACTACCCCAAATAAGCCAAAATAAGACCAAAATAAATTCAATATAAATAGCTTAATATATATTAGCTCTAGCTAAATCCGCCCCCCATAAATCACAAAGAAATTCGACCTTCATATATGTGGGGATATCCGTCTCCCTATTCCCCCATATCCTTCCTCTCTTTCATATATCGGTCGGAACCCGACTATCAAATATGTATCTTCAAAAATATATAGACATATATTTTAGCCATTATTTTCAAAATATACTTATTTTTTATTTTTATATATATTCTAACCCACCGATATAAAGAAATCTCCCATTCACCGACTTAACCTTGCTTGCCGTTGCTCCCTGCGTTTGCTGCGCGTCAGTGTTGCGCATTATTCTCTCTTGGTCTCCACCTCCTCTGCGCTTTGTCGTTCATAGACTCGGCCGTTGCGATTAGTCTGCGCTAGTTCTCCCTCCTTTCCTTTGGTCGCCGCAGCATCTTCCTGCTCTGTAGAGGGTCTACGGTCCCCCCCTTGGAACGATCTGTTGTTGCTGCGGGACTCTGCTAGCTGCCTGCCATGTTTTTAATGGTCTGCTATTGCTGTGGGTCCGCGCTGAGGGTCAATGATCCGTTTCTTTAGTGAACAACGAAAACAAATATATTCAACAACTTCACTAGGTAATATTACAACAAGAAACGACTACGACAGCATCCAACCACCAATCCACCCAATCATCTGTCGTCCAACGAGCCATCCATCGACCTATCTACACTCTACACACATCTATCCACATCTACCGATCATGTTTATGCATCAAAGAAGAAACCATTGTAAAGGGATCGCTATCTATCTTTCCACTGCTCCTCTCTCTATCCCAATCTCTCTCTAGGTCTCAATCTTTCCATTTTTCTAACTCTCTCCTTCCCTTTCATCCAGCCACCTGTCCACCCACCCATTCTTCCAACTAGCTATCATCTTTGCATATCCACCTACATCTGCTCTCTATCTTCAGCTTATCCTTCCGACGATCCATCGACCTACCTGCAAGTGTACTCAAAATGCTGATGATGCAAACCATCAAACATGTGCATCACCAACACACCGAAGACACAAAAAATCACAAAAATCGATACTTTATGATACTCTTTGACACGCCTTTTTTTGCCAACGCTATTCCGACCTTGGCCTGATCTGGAGCCTCTGCCCCCCCCCCAACACTTACTTCGTTCGCCAAACAACTCTCGCCTAGCTGCAGCTGGCTTTCGTGACAATAACCAAGCCCATCCAACTGTTATTTTAGATTCTATTAATATACAATAGTAAAAATAAGTATGCCTTTATATATAGTGCTATCTTTCCTTACCTTTAAGTTTGCACTATATATTGTATATAACATGTAAGCGTAGATAGGTAGATGGATGATACGCAAATAGACGCATAAATATATTGCGTAGATGTAACTATAGATTCGATGTACATTTTCATTTCCACAATACCCATCCCAACTTCATATTGTGAAGCAAGTGGGATCGAATTGCTGCTTTGCCTTCATGTTGGCGGGAAAAATGAAGGCTGTGACTGGTCGCTTCGGAATGCCTCATCACACTCCAACACTTTTTGGCCTGCTGTGCACCTCGTGCGTGCAAACAAGGCTGCAAGACATAGAAAACATAAACTTCGCATTCCGGCTCAGCGAAGATTGTAGTTTGTTCAAACTGTGCAGCAGGAGGTCTGTGAGATAAGACCATACAGTCTCAACGCTACAAAACCAAGAACATTGAAGATGGGTGGTTCTGAACATTTCTGAAGGGTGTCAATGTAATTCTGGATGATCTCTCACATCCCACATCCTGTATTATGATTTTCCTTTCAAAGCCCATGATGTGCAAGGTCGCATACCACTGGCTCTGTCCGCCCTTGGTCAAGCCGAAGAGGCGGAGGGGATAGGAACGCGACTGGACCGCATCCTTAACGACACGGAACACCGACGCTCCAGTGCACAAGGTGCGATTGCAAGGCACTTCGCAATGTGGGCTCAGCATTTCCAACTACAAAGTCTCAACATGTCTCAACGCCCTCATTCATTGCATCGCTACTAGGAGCAAGGACGCTACTAGGGGCTCCTGGCCTTACTACCAGGAGCAAGCCGTCTGCCATGAACAATCGCCCTCCTGTGTCAGCGGTAATCAGGTCCAAGGAGTTTCCCTGGTGCTTCGTATCGCTGTGGGGGAGAAAGTGCGCTACCAGGGTGTCACTCTGCTGTGCACACCAAGGTGGTTCGTTCAGGTTCATGATGATTCATGTTGGACATCTCATTCTGCAATGGAAAAAGGGATGGAAAAGGTTATGTCAGTCTAGACTCACAACTGGTGATGCTGATATCTCACGTTGTTTTCAGCAGCATGGCAGCTGTAACTATTGGATTATTGGATAGGCGGGTCACGCGGGCCGTTCTCACACGCTGATGCGTGAAGGCCACTGTTCACCGGATGTTCAACACCGGCTTTCAGGGACTCGACTCGTTCCGTTCGCCACCTGCGCTCTTGATCCTCAGCTCAGGGACGTTGTCAAAGCAATGTGCTAACAGAACTCGTTCCGGAACAGTGAAGTGTGCACATTAGGTAAGCTTGAATGCTGCCTTGTTCTTATGCAAGGGAAGTGCTTGCTCGCCAAGAGCTAGGACCTACTTCCTGAATGTTCAAACTATTTGCTACAACAATTTTTCGATTCACTCGGAGTCTGCGACCCATGTGCCATCCCATCTGATTCCAAGGCTCTTCTCACAGGGAGATCAAGGTTTTTCGATCCTGAGATGGATTGTTTGGCCGAATTTTGGAATTGATGGCCTGTCAGTCTCTGTCTTGCTGTCTCTGACTGAGACTCTGAACAACACTATTGTCAATATCGGTCGCTCAGTTCTGATGTCACGAGCTCTCAAAGGAATCTGCGTGCCTTCACGGGTGGGCTTGTTGAGCTAGCCGGCCTCGAAGCGCTAGGCCGCAAGGGTCTGGGGAGCTCTGGGGACCATTTTTTGATCGGCATGGTTTTTGAAGTGGGCACCTCGTGGGGCCAAAAGAACAAAACGATCGAGCTGCCCAGCCAATCTTGTCTGCTGTATTTTTTGTTGTCGGGAGTCATGAACCACTGTCAATGTGCAATTTGCGTAGTCTTGTGCAGTCTCTCTGGACATCCCCAGCTTGATCTCCAGTCACTGGTGATGCAACATCATGATGCAGCAATGTAGTTGGGTGTGGAAGAACTTGATGTCGTGGCTAAGTAAGACCACAGCTGGGAATCTAAATTGCTGTTGGAAGCTGTCGTAGGCATACGCTACCCAGCCTTCCCTTGAATTCACCACCGAATTACCGCCGCTTGAATCTAAGCTCATAGAACTTCAAAGTTTGTTGGAGAACGCCTTGTGATTTATCGTGAGCATCAGTTTCTCTTCAGTGGAAACCGCAAAGGCAAACCTTCAATCATTTGGCAACATTCCACACACAAGACTTTTCAACCTTGTTTTGTGGTGCTTCAGCCATTTCCACTCCTTTTTGCAACCTTTTCACTTGTACTTGTACCTTACTTTGGTATGCTTTGTGTGCCGTGTTCTTTCGCAGCAAACAGCATCCGGCTGCATAGTGAAAGAGCCGCTGCAATCTTAACAAAAGAATGCTTCCTCACACCAACACAATGTCACAAACAGTTCCCAACGATTGGCACCTGCTTGCAACCAAGACACTGCAGCCCGGGAACCCTGGGCATGTCCGCGGACCCAGCCTGAACATCCAAATGAAAGGAGGTGAACTATGTGATGAAACGGAGGTGGTCGAATTCGCTAGTCAATAATCTCAGCCCAACCTTACACATGCATATGAATTTCGACACCACGAAAGTCTCGTCCGCTCAATGGCTCTTGTTTGTATAACATTGGGGACGTGTGCGGTGCAGCTATGCTGCCTGTGCAGAAAAACGATTTGGAAAAACTACTTACTTGAAGACACACTCATCTGTACATTAGTTTATCGGACCTGGACTTACAACCTCTCAGACTACCCGAATTATGCCCCATTTACTGTAGTCGAACTCGGCCGTCACCCTGACGTAGTCCAACATCTCATTGAGGATGTCCCACCTCAACCTTGACGGTGCATCTGCTACATTACTTGGTGAAGGGATCCTGGTATACCAGTTGAGACTGTTGTTGTTGGCATCTTGTATCATTGCTTCAACCAGCATCTTTCTACACCCTTCCGACTTTGTCACTCCTGCCACTAAAGCTTCTTTGACTCCTTCGTTGTCTATGAAGTCCAACACCCTCGCTCCCCTCAACAACTGTGCAAATTGCTGCTTCACGATCACGATGGGCATCATCTCAGCCTGGGCGACGACATGTTCGTGACCGAATCCGTGCCACTCTGCGACCACTTCCTCGGGAACCTCAAACCCAAAAGCTAAGGGCTTCTCCAACCTTGGGGAGAATACCGCTGCGCCGCATGACGCCCTGCCATCTTCATAGGCCCCATCCGTGAACGCTAAACAGGGCGCCTCCTGGTTCACAGCATCAAGTCTTCTGGGTGGTGCTGAGCGCAATAGGTTGGCTGACAGCCTCAGCGCTTGCCTGATTTCTGGAGCGACATTGCGGGCACCTCTGTGCATGAGTGCCCTGTGCTTCACTGGTCCCGGGGGGAAGTCCCGCAACACTTCCATGTCTTCTATGGTGTTCTCAAGTGCTGTGACCCTATCCTCTTTGTTTCTCACCACACCACAACCTGTTCGTGGGACTCTATACGCCAAGCACCACGAACTTCCTTGCCGGCGGGGGGTCCTCTTCTTGGTCTCCTCAGCTATGCCCCACGCCATGGTGCGAAGTGCCTCCTCCATGACTACCTGTGACCGAACTGCCATGTCTTCAAGGTCTACGTGTGGGAAGTCGTCAAAGTAGTTGACCACTGGCAACAACAGGAACTTCTGGAGAACGTCGCGTAGTGCCCTGGCTAACCCTGTTGAACGCCAAGACTGACCCTGTGGCCCCGAATGGCAACACATGAGACACGAAGTACTTCACTCCGTCCCCCACCGGGTCCAGCGCGGCAATCACTGCGCACCCCCTGTCGGCTGGCGCAAGAGCCAACTGCTTGTATGCAGCTTTGAGGTCCAAGCACCTGCCACTGAGTTTCAACTCCTTGTCCTCGAACTGCGGGTGTTTCTTTCCTGTCAGCACCATACCCGACGAGAGTTCCACCTGGACCAACCCCGGAGAGTTACCATACGTCTTCATCCATGATGCGGCCAACGAGACAACCTCGTCAACTCCACCAAGGTCCAGCCTCGCTCCTGGGCTGTAGGACTGGTTGACGGCAAATTCACTGAGGTCATCGATGTTCCTGACTTTCTCACCTTGCGCTATACCAAACCTTCTGCTAGGGGTCCGCAACGGCCCCACCTCCACACTCACTTGTTCTCCACTTAGAGGACCTTTCAGCCAACCCTTCTCGACTTCCTTCACGGTCGCCTCCCAGACCTCTTGTGCTACCTCCACTTCCTCACCCCCCAAAGTGACTCGCCTCCCTGCCATGTGTTTCGGCACCTTCGACGCCACCTCCTGCTGTGCAGACTTTGCACCCCTCAGGTCCTCCCTGTCGAGCACATGCCACTGCACACATCTTCTACCAGCCGAACATCTGCGTATCCAACCAGTTTGATCAACTCTGCAAGGAACAACAGCTTCTTGGGGGCGAGGACTTCAGCCACTTTAGGTTCCATGTTTGCATGCAACTCTTGTTCTTGCCCTTCCAACTCTTCAACACGCTTCTTCATCCACTTCAACCTACGGAACCTTTCTTGGTGCATTTCTTCTGTACCTTTGGTCAGGACTTGAAACACGCCGTCAATCACATGGTCTGGCGTTTGGAATGCTGTGTCAAACGGGTGTTGTAGTTGCTGCGCTCGTTTGACTGCTTCATTTGGGGTCATCGGAATGCCAAAAACGACTGACTTGGCCGACTTGGACATCATCATACTTCCGTCCCCGTGCACATCCCCCTCGTTGGACGGAAAATGCGTGAGAATCCAACTTCTTCTCCCAACGTTGGTTCCGAGGAGCCTCCGGTTTAAACCGACCTTCCCTGATCTCGGTGATCACATTGGTCAGAGTGTCAAGACCTTCCGCTAGAGCGTCGCGGCTGTAGATCAGCACACTCTTGTCCTTGGGTGGTATCCCCTCAACCTCCTCAACTTCTCTGAGACCATAGCCTTCGCCAACCATGACAATGCTGTCGCTTTCATGGAGTGCGCGCCCACATCCCCCAACTCCTGAGGGTGAATCGTGTACTTCTGCAACAACTCGCAGGGCCAGATCGATGCCTCCGGTGTTGTCAGCCTCGCTTGACTCCACCCTCCACCTGGCACGGGAACCGGCAACAAGGGTCGACCTGGAAGAGCTCTGAGGCCTGACAGATGCCTCAACTTCAACAGCTCTTCTGCGCCTGTGATTCCCTCACATGGAGCCACCACCGGCAGCACCCTCCTTGCCCTGCCCACCAGGGAGTCCGTCTTGTGGATGCTGGTGCCACCTTCCAGGTATCCTCCATCAACTTTCGGCTCCGAGTCAATGCCTTGGCTGTCACCGAACCTCAACCGTGCGCAAACACACAAAAGGCAATGTCCTGCAAAGACTCTGTCCTGCAGTGGAAAATTCGACTCAGCTACAATCATCTCAAGAGTCGACACCTGTACAACCGTCAGGGCATCTCTCTGGCGCAGGATTCTCTTCGTGAGGTAGCTGCGATGTGCTGAACCAGTCACCCGTCCACTTTGCAAGACCTCGTCTACACCCTCCAACTGGATGGTCCCTTTGCAAAAAGCTAAGGCGCTCCGGAAGCTTTTCACTCTCGTTGCAGGAGCTCCATCTTTTCGCAGCTGGTCAACGTACTGGTACACCTGGGCCTCACTGATGGGGAAAGCATCCCATCCCTTGGATCTTGCCCACCTGATGTACAACATCATTGCACTAAGTCGCACTTGCAGCGTGCCGTTCTTCTTCTTGGCGAAGATGTCCTCCAGCACTGAGCCACCTGACTGGTCCAACATCGATGCGGCTTTGCATGCTTTCCGGACCTCGTTGATGACAATCTTCCACCCTTCCATCACCTTCTGCCTCTCGGTCTCAACTGCGCGAGCCCAGGGCATCCTCGACTTGGTCTCAATCTTGAAGCTGGGGTTGAGCTGGGCCCCAATGCCCGTGGTCTCGTCCTCCACCTTCACGTCTGGGACTGCTTGAGTGGCATGGGGTTGACGGGCACTTTCGCTCAGGAAGCTGGTCTCCATCGCGTCCTGGTTTCTGGCCAGTACCAGGCCTGCAAACCCGGTCTCCCATGGCATCTAGTTCTTTGGGCACCTTGAACTTGAGCTTCTGCACCTCTGACAGCCCCATGCCATGTGCATCACTTCCCAGCTGGTCCTCTGCTGGTATGGCCTCTTTCTTCTTCTCCTGCTTCATCCCGTCCACAAGTTGTCTCAGGGCCTCCGGTGGGCTCATTTGGGTCTCCGGCTCACTGTCGGAGTCCACATCCATGACCTCAGTGGGCGATCCCGACCTCAATCCTTCTGCTTGCGGATCTTCCACCCGCATGTCTTGTAGTTCACGAAGTCGAGCTGCCATCTCGTGGATGTTCCCCATATCTAACTCCACCATGATGGGCCCCCCCCGCACACATCCCCCCTGGTTGGGGGTCCACGTCCTCGTCCTCATTGCCAAGGTCCATGGCTCAAATTCAGTGTGGGGGGGACCTGACATGGCTTGCAGCCAAAATGGCACGACAGACTCGACCGTTCATCAACTCTGTTGATTCCCTGTTTCTAGTTATCAAAATACATCATCACTACGTGACAGATTGCATAACTAAAAAACGCCTCTGGCACCAAGGCAATGTCGGCAGTGCAACATCTCTTGCCACCAAAGTCTCCGCTTGGCTTGCTTGCACGTCGCCCTCGTCTCCATCCTCTGCTTCGCCCATTCCTTTGAGAAGGCTTCGCATGTAAGGACTGGCATCAGCAATCCTTGGCGAACAATTTGCAGTCTTTAGTGCCAGCCCATCTGTCCATACTCATCTGCTAGTTACGCGAATGTGCACGGCACTTGAGGAAGCTGATGTCCTTAACATCTCACCCTGTCACCCTTCTGAGATTCTCCGACGCCAAGCCAAGCGGCTTCCCGAGAGCCTTTTGCTTTTGCTCCGGTTTGTCCTGATGTCTAGTATGCATCATCAAGTCGGGAACAATTGATGACAATTTGAAATTATACGGTTTGAGATTGTATACGCGCCAGGAAGAGGCCCTACCAGTAAATTGGAATAGCCGAAGAAAAATAAGAGTTATATATATATAGATTTATATTGCATGTATTTACATGTGCTGTTTCAACGGCCTCAAGTGAAAAGGTGCTATCTGATGCCCAGTTGAGGGGCGACGAGTATGGAACAATATGAGAGCATGTCTGGACAATCATTCTTCAAAGGCCAGACCGTCAGATCCAAACCCTGGTCTGATAGATCAACATGGAGCCAGGTTGATGTGCACCACAGAATTCAAAACCCAACCGAGCCCTGACGAAGCTTGAGACTGTGCAAGCACTGAAGATTAAGCGTACAGTAGCTGGTTGCAAGAAGCCCTTGCAGGTTCGCAGTCCTTGTACTCCTGTGCAATCTTCCTGAGAAGCAACCAACATGAACAGTATAATGAAGCAACCAAATGCAGCCTCTGGCTGTCAAGACGCTGCATCACCAACTAGAGAAAATTCGGTCCTGCCGCGGACCCTGACCTCCCAAGACCAACGTACTGATCGCTGCCAAGGATCTGTATGGTTTGTTTGTATTGCTGCCTTGCTGCTTTGCAAGGCCTATGTCTGCTCTTCTTAGTGTCCGTCTGACTGGAGTGCTCCTGGTCATCCAGCTGAAGATGTGCAAAGGAACATGTCAAACATCATGATGGAACATCATGTGGGATGGGACATAGAGGCTCCTCGGGAGGCCGTCATTCGCTCACTGTGAATTACGCCCAGCTCTGATGTGCAAGCACTTCGGGCAACCAACAATGACATGTGGCTCAGTGTAGCCAAGTTGCCAGGTGACAGAACATGCACCGAGCACCGTACTCACAGCCTCAATTACACTTGCCGCTTGCACGGCTTGCGAGTTCCCAGTGAGCCAGCGGAACAAACACAGTTGCAGCCCTTACTGTAGGATTACTGTAATTGCGGAAATCGCATGACACTTGAACCTTTCTTCGCGGCCAACATATGTTAAACGCAATTGCAACCAACAAATACGTACAGTAAATTGGAGCGCCAGGAAGCCAGGTCTCACAAGCACTCGCGTGCACGGAGTGCATTTACCTCTTCCATGACCCTGACAAGCATTGCAAATGAAGACTTGTTGCAAATGAAGACTTGTTCGTATTGGTTTGGCAACAGCTCTGTCAACACCTGTGGGACTTAGCAAGCACAATCTCTCCATCGCAGGCTTTTGGATTCGGGATGCAGCCGCCCAATACCAATTCCACAGCCCTTGACAATCAAGTCATCAATGTGTGCGAGTGGCTTCTTAGGGGTGAGAAGACCTCCCATTCAACATCATTCAACACATTGCACCGCACGTGCGCACCGCACGTGCGTACGTTCTACGCTGAGGCATTGCCCTTCGTGCCTTGGAGCCAACAGATTGTCCATACTCAGGCTGGAAATCATCATCAGCATCTGGCTCGGATTGTGGCGTCGCCTCCCATCGCTACAGCTATAGCTCTCATTTCGGAAGATTCAACAAAGATAAGTTCAAAACACTGCTGGGCTGAAAGCGCCTTGACCTCAGGTGCTTGCTGGGCCTCACGCGGCACAGGAATCCCTGCATCACGCTGTCCTGAACGAATGGCGAGTTCAAATCCATAGCACGATTAGATCTGGATACTTTCCAACAGAATCAACGACGAATCATGACATGTTCTTCCAGATCTTCCAGCAGTTCGGGCGACTCGCAATTGTCAAAAAACCAGCCAGGGTCATAGTTCCACTCCTTCGGCCCTGCTTCCGCTAGTCCATGATCACCACATTTGCTGTTTCCTCTGTACTCGCTTGGTTGGTCCCCCCTTCAGTCTCGCCACACCGAAAAAAACCCAAGCGGAACATGCGACGCCCAAAACGACGCTCAAACGACCTCTCTCCAGCTCCCACATGAAGTCCCTGTATGATTGGGCCGTTTCGCCCGCAGAGTCCGAGACCGAAGCTGATGAGGAATTCCTCGGAGAGATCGTTCGCCCACAGAGACCGAAGCGGAGAACGACCGTCACTGGTGGCCCTGAGGCCCTGACTCTTGAACGACCCAGTGATGGCCGGGATGGGCGTCCTGGTGGCCCGAACCAAGGTGCTTCAGCTTGTGCCCACCCCACCCATGACAGCTACGGCAATTGAGGTTGCTGGAGGCTCCTGAGGAGGCTCCTGACGTGCCCCCAGGCCACTGTAACCAGCATAGGCCCCATAGCCGTATTGCTCTGGGCCCATGTCAGAGTCACCTGTTCCAGAGCCTCAGATCAAGTCTAGTTCTTCTACTCGTCCTCTTTTTACAGGTAGATCCGTCACAACATGAAGCCGCTTTAGTACTGCTGCTCATGATGTTTCTCGCTGCTGTCGCTTTGGATGATTTGGTCCACCTAAAAATTCATTACTGTATATAAATGAGATTAAACTAAATTCGCTTGGCTTCACATTCTGGATTCCAGATTCTATAGATGCACAACAAACCTCGTCTGTCAGTGGTGTAGCCTGAGCGCCCGCGCAGCTGTTGGAGGACGAGGTAGACCCATCCCAACTCTTGCTTCGCATTCGTGGGTATCTTCGTTCCATTTCCTGTCAACGTTTCACATTTAGCTACGTTCACGTCTCCACATGTGAGTTGCGGTTGCGGTCCTCATGGGTCTGCACGTCCAAAAATGTATTCTTCACCTGTAGGTGCAAGCGCGGATCTCCTTGGGAGTCCGCCGCTTCCATTGGGCGAATCACCAGGTCACACAGAGCGCTTTGAAAGTTGGGAAAGGTTGGGCCTCATCGGCCCTTTCCTTGCATTCAAAGGGGAAGGCTGGTCTGACTGGTCGGGATGTGGACTTTGGCTTCAGGTGTATGCAACGACTACAGCTAGAGCAACTGTCTTGAATCTTGAACTCCTGATGTGTCCCAAACTTGCCAATTTTCATGATGACTCTTGGTGGGCCAGTGGGCCACTGCGTGAGCTTGAGCCAACTGTAACTGGGCAAGGCAAAGGATTTCAGCGGGAACCGAGGAGGGACGCAGTTCTGGCCTGACCCCTTTTCTCTTTTCCTCATCCATTTCAACCAAACAAGTCAAGGAAGAAACTCTGTTGCTTCATGAGGCCTAAAAGATCAGTGCCAACAAACAATGCACTCTCACATGACTTGTTTATCAAAAAGCAGCGTGTACACAGCCATGGCTGTTCCTTGATCCATCAGGCTGGTGAAATTTGCACCGTACGCAGCGACAAGTCAAGCCATCCATGTGGAACATTACATGCTTCGAGAAAACAGCAATGCAGGAACATGCGGGAACTATTCTAAAGCAAAAACACTTCAAGTGTCAGCCTGCTCCCCTGTGGATAGTCGAAGTCTCCGGCCAAGTCTTTTGCTCCCAGCTACTCGAGAACTCAGCTTAGCTGAGGTGAGGCAGGAGTTCACGAATGAAAAGGGCTACATGCAATTTTGCATACATAGATGCCTGAAGGCACCAAGACTTTCGGAAACACTTCGGCTGCCTGTTGTTGTCTTCAAGTTTGGTGGACAACATGCCAGCCAGTGGCCTACTCTCATTGTCTCTCTTTGATGCATTGATCCTTGTTCGTGCCAATGGCTTTTGTTCATCGCGAGAAGGATCAATACTTTGTACGATCTGGCCAGTGATCTTCCTGACTCTTCAATCATAATGGGCTCTCTTGAGGCCGCACGCGATACGTCGATACGTCGTTGGCATCACTGGTGTTCCGAAAAGGATTCTGCTACATCTGCTTGTGCGGCAAAGGACTGCACTTTCACAGCCCTAATGTGATTGATTGGTGCGGAGGAGTATCACCAGTATTGCAGTATGGCATGAATTAGGCCATTTAGGATGAACAGTAGAGAATGTACAAAATGCTACTTCACAGCTACTGGTTCCTCTCTGTTGAGGCAGGGAAGCACCAACATGTTGGACGTGCATCCCAAATCGAAAGAGGCCGTAGCGGACGAAGCTTTGTCGCCCACTTTCTTGCCCCCGTTGCCCTTTCCCCTCAGCTTGTCAGGTTTAAGCTTCTCAGCTTTAGCCCTGCGGCCACAGACCCTCTGCGCCTGAGAACGCAAAGCCCTGAGACGCTATAAGGTGACTTTGCTGATAGAGAGCCTTTGACTTTGCTGAACCCTCAATCCTTCTTCACCGACCATGTTGAGTCAGAATAGCATGCAAATGTAGTGGAGTTGGCAGCTGAGGACAAGACTTTGTGTATTCAAAAGTCTCCTTTTTCTCTTCCCACATGGGCACGACCAGCGTCAAGGTCCGCGCCTCGGTAGAGCCAAGTGAATCCCAGTGCCCTTGTCGCTCTCGAGGACGAATCTCATTAGATTTGTAGACATCTGTAGACCACTATATTAATACATCTGCCGGACTACAGCCCCTTTGCACGAATGCCAAGGTGCAGCAGCATATCTCATTGGCACGAGCTCCTTCTGATAGCCTGGAGCTTCGTACCTGCTGTGGGTCAATGACATCATTTGCCAGCCGATGACTCGTTTGAGGATCTGTGTGGGGCACCAGGATAGCAAGTCTGATCTTGTTCGCCAGCACGAAGCACATGCGACCTGTTTTCTTTCTTCATTTTTGTGAACTCAATGAGTTCAACATACGGATGGAAGGGATGATGTTGGCACAACATTTGATTGGACATGAGGCATCGTATGCGGCTTTTTCAGTGTCTTCGCGGACTGGACATGAGCAGTGCAGCTGACTGTCACAGGGTCCCTCCTCACCTGTACAGGGAACTCATTGATGAGCACCCCGCTAATTCCTGGAAAGAACAGCCGCTGCTGATTCCACCCCTTTGAAATCCAAAGCAGTGCCAAAATGTGCCAAACATTGCCAAACATGGCCGTGCCTTCTGCAAAAAGTAAGTTGCAAATTGTGCCGATGTCTTTTGGAGCCTCGACAGGTCACGAAAGCTTTGAGCGCAAAATGGGCATGGATTCTGCACGCGACAGCATCGAATCCTTTCATCGATAGCTGGTCTTCTTCCACTGATCTCACAAAGGCTTTGACTGCATGGGCCGGTGAGTTCAGTCCATACGTCCTTGTCTGAGTGACCTCGCGTCCGCCTTTACCCTTGGACTTGCGACTATGCGACTTTGGCCGTTTCGTATCACTAATCACTAGCAGCTAGCATTCAAAGACCCTTCAACACCTAGGTCACGAAAAAAATGCGTTTCTTCGATCTTCTTCGAGCATGCCCAGCAACTGGAAAAAGGAGCTCATTGTCACTGCAAAATTCATGTAGGCAGCCCGGTGAGCCATTGAATGCATGGCCTTGATGGCTTTGGTTTTGTACATATCAACATAGCGCTGCATCCTCAGCCAGCACTCGTCTGCGAAAGATTCTGGTGCTTTGGCACAATTTGATGGCTGATTGAAGCATTCACATGCTGTTTGCCGACTTGTCCTCAAACTTCTTGTTTGCGACAGTTTGATGACCGTTCGTTCTGGGACCACAGGCGGCTTAAAGGAGTCCATCTGAGCTATTTCCAACAAAAGCAGCTTGTCGCCTGGGTGTGACACAGACAGTAAGGCAGTTTTCTAGGTTTTGCTAGATCTTTGGCACAAGGTCACAAGGTGTTCTTTTAAATGCTTTCTCATTTTCTTCGAGCAAAATCAGCACTTGTCATCACCTGTTTATCTGGTTGGTGCTTGATATTGTAGCATGTGTCTTCGTTGAGGATCCTGGGAATCTAAGTTAGTTACAGTTAGTCTCTCTAAGTGCATCACACGCAAGCCACGCAAGCCCTTCAGTCTGGCTCATGTGTCGAATGTGTTCCTGGATTTTGTTGACTTCGGCCGAGGACCTTCCTCTGCACAAGTGTTCCACCTCCAAATTTCTCTGAGTGCAGACTCGTGGACAATGCTGCAGCGTGCATCTCTAAGAAGGAAACCAAGGGCAGCTCGCTTTTTGCTGCCTTCGAACGCCTCCACCAAGCCTGCAGTGTCAACATCAAACATCACCATCTTGCTCACACATGTGTGCAGAACTTCAAGTGCTCCGTTTGTGAAGTCGTCATCAAGCACTGCGTTCCCTGGCCATCCATAGTATGGAGGCTCATCTTCTCCATGGTGTCCCGGCCCTTGAGGAGCTCAAAGACCTGTACCGACCAGTTCTGGTGTCAGTGATAATAACGCGCCATGGAAGCTGTGCCTGATCTGAGGCCCACCATGAGTGCACCTGGAACATGCCAAGGCAAATCAAAGAACACAGCTTGAATTTGACATTCAACAGCATTAGCTTGCAAATGAAGCTGCCATATTGCATCACATGCATCATGTACCGCTGGCCTCCTCCAAGTCCTTGAACCCCGCCAGCAGAATGCTGTCGCAGTCAAAAATGGCGGGATTGAGGTGATTTGGTTCCTGAGTTCGGTTTGCACACGTCGTTGGGTAAATCCTTGCCGATGAAAACTACAGAAAGAGACTCTTCGAGACTCTTAGGTTGGCACCACGAAATTGTCCCTCCCATCCATGATGTCCCACAGATCTGGCTGATCTGACCTCGGCCCATGTTCTCAATCGGGTGAGTCGGATTCGGACTGCATGTGGTCAAGAGATGTCGATATTACATACTATTTTTTGACTAATCAAACTCAAAGTGCGTGAGCTTTCACAAGCGAGGTCAATCAGGATGACTGGGTCAATCGGGTCAGGTCGCACATCCCTGTGGCATCCGGCCGGACACAAACCTTTCCACCATGAGCCTAGGCCAAAAAGGATTGGCACTGCATGCTGCCCGCTTTCGACGCTAAAGGCGAAAATTACGTTACCCAAAATTAGACACATTGTTTAGCTTATTAGTTTGCCGCTTGTGAGAACAAATTTAGGTACAATCACCGTTTTCTTTCAGTCATTCACTGAAGGCATGCCAAGTTGAAATACTTGCAACTGTCTTGTCGTCTATAAGATCACCAAACTCGCGCCTTGAGCGCAGAAAACCCTATAATCACATGAGCGCACTTCTCCGGGAAACCTGTTGCTACTCTCAGGCAGCCTGCATTTCCAAGGTTTCTGACAGTTTGAGGCCCTGTCACGAATGTGATTCTCCATCTCGTAAAGGAATCGCAAGGCATCCCTGCTCCGGTCTGAGCGCCTCGAGCAGTTGAGCAATATGTGCAAACACGTCTGCAATTCCCCAATTCCTTAAGCTTCAACGACCCAACCTCTGTCGCGCAATGTCACAAGTTGACCATGCAATCTCTTTTCAACGACCTCTCATACCTCGGTCCCCGGCTTCTTGAAGAGGCCCAGGAGAAAGTGTTCTGCCTCGGCACGGCAGGAACGATGTTTGGCCCACAAAATTAAGTATGTGGAAAATTCGTGCAGTTTGCATCGAATCAACATGCACCGTGTTGCTTCGTTGGCATGCATGTAGCTTGAAGGATGGTTGCGCCCCAGAAACGGCCGACAACACCACAGAATTCAGTTCATGCAAGAAGCGACACGCACTAAAGTTATTAAGTCACTAATTTCCATCTTGAGCCAAAGTCACGTGAGTCACACATGCTGACAGCAGTAAGAAAGGAAGTCTTAACGACATGTTCTTCTTCAGCGTGTTTCGATTATATAGATATCTGTGTGCGTGTGTGCGTGCGTGTGTCAGTGTGTGTGTGTGTGTTTGTGTTCACAAATCACTTCATGTCCGAGAAGGTTGGGATGCTGTCTTTCTGGATTTATGCATATGCATGCTCAGCATCAACGTAATCGCTTCAGGACCTGGGCGCAGGGCACCCCGATCTCGTCAGTCCCTGAGGTTCCAGCGTTTGGAGCAGGCTCCCATGCCATGGGCAGCCCAACGAGTTTGGCCAACCTGACCAACTAGGATCGAAACGCAGTGAGGTCGCTGCAACAACATCTTGTTTGGGTAGGCTTGAAGGTGAGGCTTGAATGGTCATCTTGCACATGCCAAAATGGATGACATGCTTTTTTCTTTGGCTTTTCTAATGGTATGAATCTCAAGCGCTTCCTCTTTGAGGAGGCCCTCTCTCTCTGAGAAAAGATGCCAGGCCAGGAAGCTTTCCAAGATGCGGCCGAGGCTTTAATTTAAGGCATTCAAGGCCACCTGATCGCAGCAACATGCCCAGTATCTCAGGTCTCGCAAGATGTGTACGCTGGTCCCATTGGGCCATAGGTCAGACAACGGCGGATTCGGAAACTACAATTCGGAAACTAGAACGGGTCTGAATCGGATAGTTTCTGAATCGGGTCTGTGAAATATATGTCCACGCTACAATCAATACAAACATTTCATTAGATCCCCAGCCCAGCCCCCCCGCCCCCACCCCCAGTTTCTGAATCGGATAGTTTCTGAATCAGGTGAGTTTCTGAATCGGGACACTCTGCAGCTTCAGAATCGCCAGTTTCTGAATCGTAGTTTCATGTAGTTTCTGAATCGTCTTCTGTTCTTGGGCCATACCTCTCCGCTTGTTTGGAACCCCGCAGCTTCTCTGGCTGAAGCAGCGCGCTCACATGTTTGGTGGAGGAGAGCTGGACTTGTCAGAACAAGATTTCGTTGCGAAACACAGCATTATTCCTCTAAACATCTTTCGACGTTCACCCTTGTTCTCTCCTTACTGCGAATAAGCAATGAATAAGCTCTGTTTTCTCTCTCCCCTCCACAAGCGCAAGTCATGTCAGGCTGCTGGGACTTCTTCGGCTCCTGGGACCTGGACGAGGAGACGATGTTCGCTTCGGCTGGGTCGATCGTCCTCGATCCGGACCCGTCCTCGCTTCGGCGCTCATTTCCACCTTTCGAGGCCCTCGCTTTCGCGCCGGAGACCTTGGGCCGAGTGATTCAAAACGTGCGCCGGATCTTCGGTACGCCAAATGCACAAGAGCTGCGCCCAAGTCTCCCACTCTGGTCCTAAACTTGCCCTCCTCTGGCACGTAAGCCAGCAACAAAATGGGTCGACGAGCCTGGGCAGCGGTTTGCAGCTGTCCAACTCACGAAGATCTGGTGATCCATGAGACATACTTGTGCCATGTAGTTTTGCAGTCGTGAAGTTGCTTGACCCACAAGCAGCAAACGGTTTTGCCAAGAAGCGAGGCACTCAGCCCCCAAATCGACTTGAGATGCCAGGGCCGGCAAACTGCCATCCTGCTTCTTCACCTCGATGCAGTATGCCAAACTCAAATGGGTGGGGGCGCTGGGAGCTTACATACTAATTCATCACGCTGTTTCCTGGGCGAGGTTTGGTTCATCCGATGTCTCCTTTGTGCATGGGAGTTGGGTTTGAGGAGGAAATCGTATGCCTCGGCATCGATGTGAAACTAAACCACTTGGTCACATGCGCTCCAAAGTTGTCCATCATCTCATGCGGAATGCTGCCAATAAGCAGATTGTTCCCACCCACACAAGCCCAGATTATCTACGCGACAGTCAAGTCAGTACAGCTGGTGGCCTGGTGGAATCTACTGAACTTGGTTCTTTACAAGGTATCCCCTGGCATCCCAGATATGAGTATGACAGGTGTCTGCCAACATGACCTCCGAGCATCAAATATTATATCCTGGCAAGGTCCAAAGCACAGGTCGGCGCCGACGTCGATTGGCCCAGGACTTGAAGGCTGGATGTAGGTCTCCTTCCTTCCAAATTCCTGCCTGCAAACAGGAGAGGTGCCGTGTCTTACGAAAAGAGCCAGCCAGTGATCAAGGATTGGCTCCAAACTCAGTTGCTTGTGATAAAATTCCCAACGAACATCCCGCACCCGTTCTAAGGTAAATTCGCATCTTACCCCTGAAGCAAAACCACCACAAGTATCCATGATTGCTCTAAACATGTAGATAAGGCGTCGACAACAGCATGCGGCACATACCGATTAACACGCTCCATGTGGGATGGTAGGAGGAGCACCCGTATCTAGCAAGGTCCCTAGAGCAAGGTGAAAACGTGAACTGCAGTGCTGCGTGACAGGTTGTTCTATTTGAGACCCTGGGGCTAAAAAGGAAACTCCAAAACCTGGCAGGCCAGGTAGCCTATGTTGCCAATCATTTTCAAACCTGGTGAGCTGCCATTAGTAATTAGTCAAAAAGCGGGACTTGTTTTCACTGACACATTCCCTCAGGGTGCACAAAGCATAGTCCCAGTAGCACCATGTATCACACAGCCATGATTTGCAAGCGGCTGCAGCTTCCAAAAGGCCCAGCACAAGGGCACTCGAGCTAATTTTTGGATGCAGTTCAGCAAAGGTCACGGACCGTCCTCCTCCAGAGATTGTGCCACGCATTTGGCGCCTGTCCCAATCGGGGCAATTGGAGGGAGTCAGAGTAGCTCTTGCAAAAAAGCAAACATATGCTACCGTCTTCTTGAGAGTAAGTTTTGCAACACACGGTGCTTCATTAGAGGCATCTTGCTGGTCCTTCAAATCCTTTCAGGTCATATGTACATGTTAGATCATTTTGGCATTGCCCAAACCAACGTCTGCGTGCAAACAAACCTTGATACCCAGCCTCCCAAATTGGCAATTTCACCACCAGGCTCAGGTCCATCTGGAATCGATGGTAGGTGGGTCATGGTGTCATTCTTGCTGTTGCAGTCATCCATGATCTGGCGACTCGCTGCACCAGCGTGGTAAGAAAAAAGACACCAACGAGATTCTAAGAGTCCATCGTTTCACACGTGAGCCCCACTCTGGGTGCCGCGAAAACAAGCCCAGTCTTTTGAGACCATGTCAGTTTCGGGTCGTACGAGAGCAATCATAGGCCCGTTCCCATCCCAAAGCCAAGATCCGCTGCCCATTTCACAACAAACTGTCAAGATGCCTCGACGGTCTGATTGGCCCATCGGTCCAGGAAGACCACTTCCTCAAATAGATTGTTCTGCGTGGTCCATGTTCTTTTGAGCCTGACCACTGGGATTAGTACCTAGTGGGGTCACGCGGCCGCTTTTGCGCGGCTAAGGAGAGCAGGCCATCTGCAAACAATGGGGTGAGGACATAGTAGAACCCTGTAGAAGGGAAACACAATGCTCATTGTTGTTGAGCTGATGCGATAGTGCCCTTCTAGAGCTCAAACAACACAGAAATGCAGAAGTCATGTTTTGCATACTGGCCCTATGGTCACTTAAAATAGGCTCCCAGAATGAGGGCAACCTGCATGGCCACCCCTCCCTGACAGAGTTATATAGCACATTGGACCTTGGACCGATGTTTGCAAATCTGGGTGGCAAAAAGAATCAAAGCAAAGCGAATAGATTGACCGAGGTCAGGTCGTCATGGGCTTTGCCTTGCTATGCAATCCAAAGGTGCAGCCATGTGTCGTCCATCGTCAGCCCACCCGAGCCAGTGGATTCCAAAATATTGAAGAGCGACTTCCTGGGGCAAAGTAGTGGAGCACCGTCAAAATGCTTAGATAAATGCAAGTGAGCTTAGATGGCTTGCCAACAGCATTGGCACAACAACAGTGGCATTGGTTGCTTCCTGTCTCATAGTCCTCATGCATGGCAAAACTCTGTGTACCATATGTTTGAGGGAATGCCTGACAAACACGCACACATACATACACTTGGCTTTAACATCTTGGCATTTCCTGACTTTGCCAGACTTGTCCTTGGGTTTCCACATTGTCAACTGTCAACTCAGTTCCTCAGCCCTTTCAGAACTCACTCCGAAGCTTATGGCCAAGTGTCAGATGCCCACAAAAGCCATAAATACGACAAGAACGCTTGAACTCCTTTAAGGAGAGGGACTTGGAATTGTCCTCATCAAAGACCTGCAGTCAATGTGCATTCCTCGTTTCTCATTGCGGCATTGTGTGTGCTCGCCCACCACCAGTCACCACCATATGCTTCGTTTGATTGGAAATTCAACCAGGAATCAGGAACAGCTGCTGGCACGAAGCTTCCCATCCAAACGGTTTGAGTTCCTTGTGCTCTTCCCCGGGCTGGGACGGACCCTCGTTAGCAAAAAGTAACTAGGGGCTGCCGAAGTCGCACTGAGTCCAAGCTGAGAGGCCGAAAACATGGACTTCACGCTGCCGAACTCCCTCTTTGCCCAGGTCCGGAAGTCCTTAGGTCTTTTCGCGACCGCTTCTTTTGAACACCTGGCTTACAGTCTTGACTTGAAGCAAAGATGCTTGCAAGATGGAGCTCGATGCCGGATCTATGTTGGATAGAGAGATCGTTCCTGCAAGAAACAACGCTTTTGTTGCTTCCTGGTGTGTGTGTTTGTATGTGTACGTACTGGTCCTACTAGAATCCTGCAAGACTCCAGGCAAGTGAAAAGGAGGGGTATGTGGGTCCACATTCTTGACTCGACAGCCTGTACGCATGCACAATTCCATTCACGCCTGACATGGTTGAATCCAGTGCTCGCCAGCATCCAGCCACATCCTGCTTGAAGCCTCACAAACAGTGCTCATGGCAACCTGATTAATGTGCAAGTAAAACCACAAGTGCTAACACTAAGATGGGTGTGGTATGGTATGGTATGGTTCCCCGCACTTGTTCTTCCAAAGTTCCATGACTTCTGTTTTTATGGCAGGAGGGCAAGCGGCCTAGTCTTTTGCATGCTTGGCGGAATTCCTCCCAGTTGCCTCAGAGCAACGAGCGTCGCAGTGAAACCCTAACCTCACAAACAAACACACATGACTCACGTGACATATTGAAGAACATGACAAGCCTAGATCATGCTAAACTTGGCCACATCAATGTCATGGAGATTGCTCACTGGAGTCTCGGACACCCAATCATCCACATGACACTGCAAAGCTCATCCATGTTTTTCCACGGTGCATGTATTGCTGCCGTCCACATCCAACAATAGCTTCCAGCCACGCAAATAGCTGCCAAAACGAGTTCGCAACCTCAAAGTGAGCTTGCGGTCATTCAAGTGACGCCATCAATATGTGTTGAAGCAAAATCATGGCAACTGTTGTCGCAACTTGTTTGAACATGGCGAGTGTGACGCATAATGGCACCATTCAAACCACGAACAACGGCGGTGCAAAAACGGTTTCTGCTACGTGATGCACGTCACCTCGGCAGGCTTTTCGCAACTTTGGGTGGGCCCCCGTTTTAATCAGCCTTCTTTGATCATCTTTGCAGTACAAACAACTCTGAATTCAGCTATTCCTAACCGGTCCTAACCAGAGTTCCTTTTTGTTCCCTTTCTCTGTCGCTCCCGACCGTCAAGAGTTTAGGATCAAACTAGCCTCTTGATATTCAGGTGTGCCCATCGCTCCCCCCAAAGACTGGCCAGGACTCTTGTTCTTGAAAGCATTTGCTGCTTCCTGGTTTGCAGAGGCCAACAGGTATTCCATTGGCTTCCAGTGGTCAAGAAAGGTCATGTCCTGCACACAGGGGGTATCGGTGTAAAGGTCCGAGTTTGTCGCTTCATGTCGGTCAACTCGTGGACGGAACGGTCATGGGACTGGAAATAAAACGACACCTCGAGGTTGATCTTCTTCTTGCCATGCTTGTCAAGCCTGAGCTTGGGACAATCTCGTGTGATTTTACCAGTGGTGCCACAGTTTGCTGGCCCTTCATCTTCCGAGCAACGCTTGGAAAATGATCCTGTCCCGATTCTCATATCCAAACTCCTTGAGAGCCTGCATAAACTCGCCTTCACTCACATTCCTTACATGGGATGCCCATGAAAGCCAAAGGCAAACTCGTGATAAGCCATGGGTGCAATGAACAACCAATGTAGCATTTCAGTTACAATCCGCTTCTGCGTCAAGTCAGTTCAGTAGACTACCAAGTCTAGACTGCTAAGTCTGTTGGAACTCTTTAGTGCAAAAGGTCATACATGTCGATTTGACATGCCAAGCGTCTTGTTCCCATCAAGATCTAAGGCCTTCAATCCACGATGTGCACAATAAGTGTGATGCAACACTCAATTTGGACAAGTCTTTCATCGTCTTTCCATCCAAATGAGGCTGCCAAAGGGCTGCAAAGGTCTGTGTCGCATTTTGGAACTTGTTTATCACAAACTGACCTCGGAGCAGGAACTCAGCGCTCTTCCACTCGCAAACGGTGCGAATCTACTTTGGTCAACTGATGCGCAATCCTTTGCAGAATGATGCATTCATTTTGCTACTTCCTATCCACCACGATCGCATATGGCCGACCTGATGTTCTGTCAGGCGGATTCCCTGGAAAGGAGCTACTTGCTGCATGCATATATATATATATACAGTTAGTATATATATATATATATACACACATATAGATAGATAGAAATATAGATATATAGATATATAGATAGATAGATCCATAAATAGACAAACAAATATATCAGCGGGCAAGTGTAAAATGCGTTTATACTGGCACCAAATGCGCGCCCATTGAGATATATAGATAATGACAGATACAGTGCCGAGACTAATAATGCCACCGCACTTTCTGCTGCTAATCTATGCCTATGCCCCTCCGTTCTTGACAGCACCCACACATGTTGAGGCCAAAACCACAAAGGCCAAAGACCAACTGTGGCGATATGTGCGGCAAGCATTTAAACTTTTAAACACCCTCGCTCGGAACCCGCCCTACCTTTTGGCGACAAACTGGCGATCGCAGCATTACACGCCGGTCGCGAAAACCTTCGGCCTCCTCAAACCCTGTCTGCAAATAGCTGTTGGTCAGCCGCTGTGCTGCCAAGGTGTGTTCAATTCTCCGTGGGCATCACTCCACCTTCAGCTAAGGTGCGGAAGAGTGCCAGCTCTTCAGCAGCACGGAAGTCCAATTCCTGCAGCTTCGGGATGAGATGTTTCACCGAGGAGCAGTGCTGACGGGTCTTCACGTTCAGAGTGGGGATTCAAGCGGGGTGCACTTCCAGCGCTCCCGTGCTTCCAAGGTGATGCAATTGGCCCATCAAAATCAACCGCTGTCCTCGATGCCAATGGTGCCGCTGTTGTCTCTGTCCAACTGCTCCCACAGCCCCTTGACATCCTAAGTATCAGCACCGCTGGCTGAATCTAGTGGCCACTGCGCAAGACATGTCCTTCCTGAAACACACTCAGCCGCTTAGCCGGGGTGCACCCAATGTTCTCATATCAATTGCAGCAAGTGAGCAAGTGGCCTTGCTACATCACAGAACTAGCTGCAGCCAAGTTGCTGTTCGCCATTTGATGTTCACACAAGCCTGTGAAAGCTCCGCAAATCAAATCCCTCTCAGTGAAAGGAATGAACAATGCTAGGCCCAGAAAGTGGGCAGCACACATCTTCTCCAACCTCTTGTTTGTCTGAAAGCCTGCTCGGCACTCACAACTCAGAATATGTTTCTTTTTCTAGTCGCCCAGTCAACCGTCACCGACCGAAACACAAAAGAATGTGGAGAACAGGGGCAAACATCTCCGCACCTGCCCTCACAGAAACAGAGTTTGAAAATGGAACACCATCACGCGACACACTCTGACACTGGTTCTCAGTTACACTCAGTTCCCACGCTGAGAAGGAAGGTGAGAGAACGGTAAGGTGGAGAGTCCGCAAATGTGTAGATGTTTGAACAAAAAGGTTTCTCACTTGACTGCGGTGCTGCAAACCCACGGCGGCTGCAAGTGGCTGAAGGAAACCTGTTTTGGGGAAAGTGGCATGAAGGACAATGAACCAAAGCGTGGAAAGTGGCGTCACAGCTTGAAAACAGTTCTCGTTGCAGGTACAAGAGCCGGCGTCCCAGCTCTCTTCCAACTGATTTCCGTAGCTTCGTTGGCACGGATGGGAAATCAGTCTCCGTGCCCCCTGCCTCGTTGTGTAGTTGTAGTGTAAAACAGTGGCATTGAACCCTTTGGTACAGGGGGTGACACACACACACACTTATGGATATGCGTACGGAACTGACAGCGGTGCCACTCGCCGGCCTAGGTTAAAAAACCTTAGGAAACGAGGTAAGTTAGTAAAAACCTTAGAGAACGAGGTAAGTTAAAGTTAAAGTAGAGGCCGACGCTAGAAGTTGGAGGTCCGCACCTAAGTTTGGAGGCCCAAGCAACAGCAAGCAGCAGCAAGCAGCAAGCAGCAGCTATGCCCACCCCAACTCTGCTGACTGGATAGGAAAGCATCCAGCCAAGCAGAGTGGACGCGCCGGCCCTAAGGGCAACCGGCAAGCCAACTACTAGAAAGGTACCACAAATAGAAAGAGGCCATAGCGACAAGGTTGGAGGCCAACACAAAACAAAACCGAAAACGGATTGTGACTCCAAAGGTTGCACTGCAACATTATGAAAAACATCAAGATTTGTGCGTGTCATTCCTTTCAACTGCAACAACGTGGTACACTGCAAGATTTGTGCGTGTCATTCCTTTCAACTGCAACAACATGGTACACTTCAAGATTTGTGCGTATCATTCCTTTCAACTGCAACAACATGGTACACTTCACGATTTGTCAGTGTCATCCATCACACTTCAAAAGAAGCCCTGTGACTACAAGGGTTACACACACACGCCTCCCCGAGGGGAGGCGTAAAGCTAAGGTGAAGGCCAATGTGTACGTGTGCGCGCGCAAGACAAAAGAATGAAGACATGACAGGAGGACGAGACGGGACAAAGGTGCGTGTGGTTGAAATGAGAAAGGAACCAAGTGCACAGGAACACCCGATGAAGCCCACCTCATTGTAAAGACCTGGGCGACCTGAAACCTCGTTGTAAGTGAAGGACGCGTGCGTGTGTGTGCAAACTAAGGTCCGGACGATAGTACGCGCAAGAGAAGGAAAGGATGAGGATGAAGAGACATGAAGACAGAAAGACATGAAAGAAAAAAGGGAAAAAACGTCTGTGGGGGCCGATGAAAGGGGAACCAAATGAACGGGCACGAACCGATGACAAACCAAACCTCATTAGAAAAACCTGTTGCAGAAGCCTAGTTTGCTTGTAAGCACGCCGCGCGCGAGGAAAGAGGGGGCAGGGGGAGGAAGAAAAGAGAGGGAAAGAAAGAAGGAAACAAAGGCGCTCCCAGCTACGACACATGCGTCCAGGGACGCACCAAAAGGAAGGGCTCCCAGCTATGACGAAGCATCCAGGGACACCCAGGGAAGAGGGTGAAGAGAGGAAAGAGAGAAGGAAAGAGAGAGAAAGGGAGAGGAAAGGAAGGTGTTCCCAGCTACGAACAATCGTCCAGGGACACACCCAAGAAAGAGAGGGGTGATCCTGAGTATTTCATTCAGGAAAACCCCAGAAAGCAAAGAAAGAACGGGGGAGGGAAGGGGGAGAAGGGGGGGCTAAGTGCTCGACAGACTCCAATGAGCCTTACGGCTTGCCCGAAGGCTGCCACCTCTGACCGCTGCGGTCATGTAAGGGCACAAGCCAACTTGGAATTCCAAAGATGAGACAAGATCATCGTACGTTCGGCCCAGGCCACCTGCTGTCCGCTGCGGACATCTGCGTTCCCAGAGCCGGGGAACATGGACAAACCCCCGTTCGACGGGTCCACGGGAGGCACTCTGCGGGCTCATCCCGGGTTGGCACGAGGCCAAACACACTTATGGATATGCGTTCGGAACTGACAGCGGTGCCACTCGCCGGCCTAGGTTAAAAAGCCGTAGGAAACGAGGTAAGTTAGTAAAAACCTTAGAGAACGAGGTAAGTTAAAGTTAAAGTAGAGGCCGACGCTAGAAGTTGGAGGTCCGCACCTAAGTTTGGAGGCCCAAGCAACAGCAAGCAGCAGCAAGCAGCAAGCAGCAGCTATGCCCACCCCAACTCTGCTGACTGGATAGGAAAACATCCAGCCAAGCAGAGTGGACGCGCCGGCCCTAAGGGCAACCGGCAAGCCAACTACTAGAAAGGTACCACAAATAGAAAGAGACCATAGCGACAAGGTTGGAGGCCTGCGCAATAGGTTAGAGGGCCCATAAGACATAAGGCAGCGAAAAAAAACACAAAACACAAAACAACACCGAAAACGGATTGTGACTCCAAAGGTTGCACTGCAACATTATGAAAAACATCAAGATTTGTGCGTGTCATTCCTTTCAACTGCAACAACGTGGTACACTGCAAGATTTGTGCGTGTCATTCCTTTCAACTGCAACAACATGGTACACTTCAAGATTTGTGCGTATCATTCCTTTCAACTGCAACAACATGGTACACTTCACGATTTGTGAGTGTCATCCATCACACTTCAAAAGAAGCCCTGTGACTACAAGGGTTACACACACACACACACAGCAGCGGCCTTGAAGAATGCACCCTTGTGCAGCAGCATTGCATCACCTGGTGGCTTTTGCACGGCAGCTCGTAGCTTAGCGGCGCGTCCATTATATCACATGTAGGTAGGGCGTGAGTCTGAGACTCTGTCCCAAGACATCTTCCCAAGACATCTTTCTGACACGAAGCTGTGCAAAAGTGCCTTCGGTTAGAGACATCCGCCATGCTCGGATCAAGCTTCCACCATGCTTCTGGCGCAAGAAGCGCTTGAAGTCTGCCTTGGCCAATGCTGACCGGACGTGCTTTCTTCTCTTCACCTAGATGCTCTTGCTCGTCAACTCCATCTATCCGACTCTGGCTCTATGGAGATGAGGCACTAGGTTCTCACGCGGGTCCTGCGCAGCACTGGAACATATGTCAGTGCAGCATTGAAGCACCGTTGCCGGGGCGCGGGCGCACACACACAGACATATATATTATATATGCTACTATATGCTACCATACTGTCATGCGATGCAGGCAGCTGGTGTCCTTGGACTGCTTCTTGGCCAACGCTCTTGTTTCCAGGTTTGCCTGCTCCTTCGCCTTCAGCTTCTTCTTTAGGCGGCGCAGCTCCAAGTTCAACCTCCAGCATTCCAGGCATGATCCACTCCGAGCAGGAAAGGGTTCCAGGGAACACTCGGTTGATTGACTTTTGGAACATGTCAACATGATTGCCACGAATGTCAAGGCAAGGAGAGCTGCAGCCAAGCTTCCACCTCATGTCGCCGATCACCAAGCGCTCTTGGCTAGCACCTCAAGGCGTTCATGACGGCTCGACGTTATTCAACTCTACTTGGTGATATTGGCTGTTCGTACTTGCTATCGCGTTGGTCACCGTTGGTCTGTGTCTGTTTGACAAACTTTCAGACTCTTGGACCTTCCTTCTGCCTACAGATGGATTCTTCCCCACTCAGAGGCCGAGAACATTGCCATCAACCCATTGACTTCTCGTTTTGCCTCTCCTTTGTGCCAAGCAACTGAGGGCTTTGAAAAGGCTCTCCTCTTGGCCGGTCGTCCAATGTTTTTCGACCTGACCCAGCTCGGCTCGAAACGGCTTGCTCGGGAATTTGCTCGAACGACTAGTGGACAAATGTAGACAAGGTGCCAAGTCTGCCTCGAAGTGGAAAAGATCAATCTTGATGTCCTGACAAAGAATGGGGTGATGCAAGCCACAGGAAAGCTTGTGTAAGACAATATTTTGGGGGAATACGGGGGGTGACCAAAAAATCAAAAGGCTGATACTAAGGAAAGGAGGGATACACTCAGCGGGCCGGGTGCCAAACTGCACACCAAGCCGAGATGTCACGGAATGATGCGAAAAGGAATCCGTACCCCAAAAAGGAAGACTCATGAGACAAAGCAAGAGCAAGTGAGAGAACATGAGGACAGAAAGCCAAGGCTAGACTATCAAAGCCGAAGGCAAGGCGAGATCCGGGCAGTGAGAGCCCCAGCCTCGCCGAAGCCAAGTGAGGAGTCGGTGCTGGGGGGAGGTGAGTGAGTGGGAGGTGAGTCGAGGTGACAAAGTGAATTGATTTGCTCCTTTGCTACTAGTAGCTTCTTGCTCCTAGTAGTAAGGCCAGCAGCTACTAGTAGCTTCTTGTTACTAGTAGCAATGCCAGGAGCCCCTAGTAGCGTCCTTGCTCCCAATTGGTGGCGCGATATGCCTGGTCACCTCAGGCCTAGTCTGCGGTCCTTTTCGACCTTGCGATGCCTGAGTCACACGATGGCCAAAGCACCAGGAAAAGCAACGGTTATATATATATATACTATATATATATATATCGGGTACGGCATGGTAGGACAAAACAAGGTCTGTACAAAAGCTCTTCGGAGAAACACGTCGGGCAAAAGATTGGGAGAAGCAACATGTCGCGCTTGTGTGAGTCAAGGTAAAGCGAGAAGGCAAAGGATTTGGCCCTTGTTGAGATGAGATTGCGATGGATGAAGTACGGTTGAAAGCTCAGGACCTCCATTGAGCTTCTGATGCCAAGAACTTGCGCGAGACAAGGCAAACTCCCAGCTGCAAAAACATTTGCATTGTTGGAAACCAGGATGCAACACAAACAACTAACTACATAATTATGTATCAAGTAGATGATTTTATGACTGAGTGCTTCCAACTGCAATTCGCCGTCTTTGCAACCAAGTCTCATCCACCTTCAATTCGTTTTGCCTTGCAGCACCCCCCATCCACAGAACCTACTGTACTCAGCAACGTCTACATTCACATATGACAATCAACCTAAAGTAATTGGGCTTTCTTTCATGTAGATTCAAGTGCACATCCCCATGTCATTCCCTGGCCACCGACATCGCCGCCGAGCTGCCGTGACATCCGCTGCAAGCAGTCCTCTGCGCCCTGCGGGTATTGTTCACAAGCCCAGGCGCGGAACCTCTCCTCAGAAGCGTGGGTTTGAGGCCTTCATTCGACAATGAAGGTTCGGAAGCAGCTGCTTGGGACAGTCTCACACCCCTATCAAACAAAAAGAAGAGAATAATTCGCATTGACATCCTCCAATCAAAAATCCTGGTAGTAATACCAACATCGTCACAGATTCCACCGGATTCGTCTCCCACATGCTCTCAGCTCTCGAGCCAAGCATCCCAAAGCTCATCACCTGCAGGATCGATCTCTTCGAAGGTGACTTCCCCTGAACCATCACTGTCCAAAGTGTGGTACAGCTGGTTCGCATCAAAGGGAAACCTCATGCGCCCCAGGTCGGGCCACAAAGCAAGTCTCGTGAGAGAAGGTCTCATGAGATGCTACCAAATGCGTGCATTTTCCCAGAGAAAGCGGGATATGAAGTCACGCTGAATCTGCATTGTGCAATACCATTCATAAACAAAAACTATATATATATAACTATATATGTGGTGTATGATGTGCCGGGCTTGTCTTGCACCCTCTGGCGGCAACTTTAACAAGCTTCTCACAGACTCTTGGACAGCTTTAGTGGCATGGAAAAGCCCACCACCCTACTAGAAGAAACATCGGATCCTCGTGGATTCAAATCTTTCTGGATTCAAGGAGCTGATTTTCTCGTAGATATCCTGAGTGGCAGCACTCAAAGTAACTGAGCTACTTACTAGTCCAGCAGTTGATTTACTCAGGAGTCTTGTCCGCAGTACGTCTGTACACGAGCCACAACCGGAGATTTCTTTCTGTAGTGCAATGGGATGCTATGCGTCCACGATAATAACTTCCCCCATTGCCCCACCCGTGGTCAACAGGTTGTGGGTGTATTTCACATAGTGTGCACTCTGAGCTTCTCAAAAAATACATCTCCGTGATCCGGTGCTCATGGTCTGGATCCAGTTTGTGTATCCATGCTCGCAAGGTGGAGCCTTAAGGATTCGCTCACACAGGAAAAACACCAACTATCCGCCTAGCAGGTTCAAAATATGCGAGCCGCACCTTATTTTGATCCAATCGCTAGAGAGGACATTTACTGAGGCATGACTTGAAGTTCCAAAGGATCACATGGTATGACAATCGGCAATTGTGATGCCTGTGACAGGTGCCAAAGTGCCAAAAAGGGACACCTGGGCCTCTGCTTCTAACATGTTGGCGAGGCAAAGAGCTCAAAGCAGCCATTCTATGTCATTCCAATCAAGGAGCCTTCCTGCCTGATGAGGAATTCCTGCAGGACCTGGTTTCTTAAAGTCATCACACATTTGCAGCATCTGGATCATGAGAACATACATGTATGACGTAAAGACTATCATAAATTCATTCGAACAGGAGCTACCTCTGTAAACGATATGTATATAATAAGGGAAGACACTTCCAGCAGCTTGGTTTTGACCAACGACAAAAGCTGTGCGTCAAACCACGTGAACGACTGCAAAAATTCAAACTCAAACGTCGGAACATATATAGACTGTGGAGCATATATAGACTTCGTTCGGCGTAATCAAAACAAGGACCATCTTCTGGATGCTCCTTTAAGACTATGATCCATTGGCTGCCCTGAGTCTATCAAGGTCCATAAGACCTCGTCTGTTCGAGCCCAACAGTTGCACCTTCTGCGCAGTCGCAAGGTCCATTGGTGCAGTCGCCAGCCTTACCATGCATCAAACTGGAAGGATGAGCTTCCCTGGCTCTGGCAGTTCAACACAGAAATGCGGCTTTGGCTTGCTCGAAACATATCCAGGATGATGTTCGTGCAAGCAGTCCAACACTCCGACGAGAACATGCTCATCAGAAGGGTCCTAGTGCTCTATGGAACGTCCAAGCAAGATGAAACAGATTCAAGGGTTTCGGAGTGTAAACTCCATATCTGTCGATTTAGCACGAGTCCACCAATCCTACAGTTCGAGTTCGATCAACTCCATATCCCAGCCTTCCGGTGTGAGGCGATGCACCCTAAAGCTCCCCACCCAGCATCGCTCAGCGAGATGAGTGGGGAAAGCGAAGAATGTTTAGATGTGCTCGGTCGGTGACGTGATGGATTTAGTTTAAAATGGTTGGTTCAACCGAACTTCCGTATCAAACTCAGCTGGTTCAATGATGTGAGCTCTATGGACATCTATGATTTGGACTAGCGGATGTCTAAATGAGCCGACAATAAACCTTCTTTGGAAAAAATGGAATGAGTGGCCCTTGTCGGATTGCACACAGAGAAGTTACGCTTGAGCACAGCAAAAAGATTGGCCCAGCAGACTTCGATCTCACACACAAATGATGGCTGGTCTTGGTCAGATAATGACTCTGCTCTCGACCAGCCTGTACTGTAGCAGTCAGCCAACATAGCTTCTTCTACTAATGGGGCTACTTAAGCATATGTCAAAGTCTGGGCATGTCACGGCCTTCCCGTGAAATGCAAGTTTCACTCTCAAGACTCTGCTTGCCCACAAATTGACAAATGGCCAGATTAAGCAGCCAACAACTATATATATATAATGTAACACATGTACCTCCAATCTGGCTACTACACCGCTTGCCCATGAGAAAACCCTGACGCAGAAGAAAGAACTGCCCTTCGCATCGGCCCCACCAAGCCTTGCTGGTGGATACAGCGCTGGTGGGCCCACAACACTTGAGCAAACTAAAGCGGTGAGCGGCGTTGGCACCGCGTGCATGTACACCGGTACACTGTGTGTATATTCACAGCAGTTTGTGCTTTGTACCTGCATATGTGTGCCCGTAGTGCATTTTTCTCCACTATATCGTCTTTTTCAGAAAATTGGGACACTCCGCCAAGTGTTAGCGGAAAAAAAACAAAGAATTAAACAACAGATTGTGGTTGACACATGAGATGCTTGACACTACAAATCCCGGATCTTCACTTTTTCTGCACCCGTCCCTACACCGCCAAATGACCTCTTTCCGGCAAAGCTTGAGCTCATCGGCTGAAAAGCGGCGCCAAATCTTTTCCGCCTCGCTCTCGCCCGTTGGTTCTCACTTTTGCACCTGCAAGGGGCTTTCCAGGCAAATCTCATCAAGACAGGTAGAACATTACAAACAAATCTCAGCATCTCACGAAAGTTTGGTATCTCCTTCAAGTGCGCTTCTTACAATGGCTATCCAATGCTCAATCTTCAACCAACCGCAGGCCTTTTGGTTCATAAAGAGGGCTAAGTAACTGGCAAATCTTCTCCTGGGATCAGCTACTCTGTTGCAGGTAAGTACTTCCGTTGAGCTGCCCCACACAAGTAGAAACACAATCAGCGGGATCGCGGATTCCAAGCAAGCGCTGCAAAAGGAATGAACGTCTAAGTGTCTATGTGTGGTGGAATGCAGCTGAGATTCGATGGAACTTCAATCAAGAAGTATCCTGCAACTGACCTTGTGCAAGCACGGAGCAGCAATGCAAATGAGTTGCGCAAATATGCGCAGATAATACCTTGCATGAATCAATTTTGCTATTCACGGTCACCACCAAGTCACGCCGCAAGCAAGGCCAGGAAGACGAGGCCGAAACTGCTGATGCCAAGCCTCAAAAAGGATGGGAACGGATCTCTGGGCTGAGCTCAGCGATGCGTCTCACCGTGTCTCAAACACTAAAAGCCTCAAGGATCAACACGACCAACACTGAGGCATGTTCCACACTTTCATCACGATACGCACGGGCCTTGGTGCGAAAATGACAGAACTCCCCGAACACCTTGAGCTTCATCAGATTGAGTGCTCTAAGCAAGTGGTCCAAAGTGCTACTGCGACAGAAATGCCAGCACAACTTAATTTAAACACCCCGAAGTCTTGCAAGCATGGGCCCTCTTTGTTTAGTCCGTGTTTTTTGGAAATTGATGGATGCGCTGTGAGTGGAAGCATTGCTGAGGTACAAGCAGCGCCAGCAGGAACATGGAAAGTGATAGCCTTCCCGCCTCTGCTTTTCAAAACCCTTTCTTTCCTTCAGTCTTTGGACTGGGCATGGCCCCAACATGGAACGGGCTGTAACCTCTAAATGTGTGATCCAGGTGTCGCTGCCCCCTTGCGTTGATTCTGTGCGCCAAGCCCAGCTGAAGACAGGCCGGCCAATCAAGCGTGCCAAAGGATCTGCCTTCGATTGAATTCTGGTGGCCGGAGTTGCGCTGCAAACAAAGCAAACTAGAGACTCGATGCGACTCGTGCACATTCCACACTCCCACATCACGCATGGGACTTTGACAACCAAGGTGGAGGCCAAAGGATGCTAAAGGTTGTTGTCTTGGGATCGGATCAGTCCCAAACATCCCAAAGGTCGAGGCCTCGTTGCACAAGCCCACTATCAGCAAGCCTGCCAATCAATTGACACCAAGGTCTGGAGGGTTGTCAGGTCAGTGAATGGTTCTGTTCTGTTCTGGAGTGAAGGTCAAAAAAACAGAGTGTACATCACACACCTGGGCCTTTGACACACCTAGCCTATAAAAACGAAGTAACGGCTAGGTCCAACTTGGTTCTAATATGTTTCAATGCTATCCTCTATGACAACGGCCTGGATGCAGTGGAGCATACATATTGTCACACCATGTGTTGCCTAACTTCAGTAAGGCATGGGCCAAACACTGGCAGCAACAAGCCCTTGGTGAAGATTGCTGCGCATGGCTTACCTCACTGTCACTTCCGCGTCGGTGTCTACAATCAATCAGAGACTCATGGCCAGGCACAAAAGAGCATAAAAGGAATCTGCATTCTATCGTTGACCTCCGTGTGATCTCTCTCTCTCTCTCTTTCTCTTTCTCCACCTGCTCTGTAGCAGGATGACTCTTCAACCGTTGTATGACATTCTTTCGCAGCTAGCCGTTCTCACACAGATCTAGGCTCAGCGCGAACAATTGGCACCTCGTCGAAAGGTGATATAAAGATCATCACCTGGAAAGGCGACTGCGCGAGGCTTTTTCCCATTTTTCGTCCCACGCCTCTGCGCGCAAAGCGGTTGGAACCGCCACACCAAGCGGACTCGGCTCAGCTCCTGACCATTCCCAAGATCAAGACACTCGTGGTGACTCCGAAGCGAGCTGAGAAGGGCATCTCCGCCACTGGCCTCGATCGGACAGCACAAGCGCTCTGATCGCTCTTTCCATCTGTATGCAAACAAATGATATCATGATATATCGCATTGTGGTTGGAATGTGGAGACCAAAACAATCGAACTAAGTCGTGCATCTTTCAGGTCATTGACTTCCCAAGTGCTGCAGTGGCTCAATTCTCATTGAGGAGTACAATTGTAAACATTTGAAATCTGTCTAACTTTGGCGGCATACAATGCCCTAGAACATGTACAGAATCTCTGACTATCTCTGTGATGGTTTGCCCAACGCGACATTGAGAAAATTGCATGTTGCTCTACCAATGTACCTGTCCTCTTTATAATTCCGTTAGCAGCCAAGCACAGTTGATTGAGACACGGCCTGTCTTTCCGGCATGTTTACACAACTTTTTGCCCAAAACAAGCAATGACACTAAACCAAGGTGGGAAAGTGGTGATACAAACTGCCAAAAAGGTTCAGATTTGAATGTCTTGGTTCTGCTGCCATTGCGCAAAACCAGGCCGAGTCAACCCTGCTGAGTCCATTGCCCCTTTGGGGCAAGCTACTTGGTACGTGACATGTTGACAGCTGCTCAGCGTTTGTGTGACACACAGCCGCACTGATATCATCCAAAACTCCCGAATTATATACAGTAGTTCTCCTGGTAAGGCCAGCGCCTTGTGATCCCACAATGCTGGCAGCCATGATTTCATTAACGCGCAAAACGTGCCTAACAGCACCAGCCCTTTTGAGATCGTCATCTTGGCTCGACACTCAGGACAAGTCCTTCTGATCTTCCGCGCGCTTTTTATTGCCTCGGATCGGGAAGCGGTTGAAACGATCGCTGCTGATGTGTGGTGCTGCAAAGCCACTGGCGATGCTAGTGATGCCATCATACTTAAACTGTCTTGTACTTATGCATTTCAGAGTGTTCTTGTTTTAACGGTTTGCAACGTCTTGTCGGCAAATACGTTGTGAAAAGGGTACTCAGTACTATATTTAGAGCTCAAATGCAAATCTTAGTGGTTATGGCTCAACACTGGAACACAGCTGCCGTGGAACTCAGCTCCGCAATTCCAGCGAAGTTGGAATCCAACATTGATCGCATGAGATGAAGAAATTCGGTAAAGTTCACTGAGTCCTCCAGGTAGCATGACGCAACAAGAACAGGGAGGGCATTGCAGGGATTGCAGGGCATTGCATGGTCTTCCAACAATCTGCAGATTGCTGATCCTAGGTTGCCGTTGCTATTGTAGTCGTTCAATTCGTGAATGCTGGTCCTCTCCGGCATGCTTGCGCACAATGCGGATGTGCTTTTTCAATTCCTGCCAAGACATTTTGCTGGGGTGAGAGCCATGATGGATGGCGGAGGAATGCTGCGAGACCTGCATGTGTAAGGCATAGCTCTCCAACACTAAAGACCATCTAAAAACCAATCCGCAATCGGATCACCATCGTTGTCTTGCGGCCGGATCGGCTCCATGCTGCGCACGGTTGAGCGTTGCATGTGCACATGCACCAGCGCCTGGACATTGTTATCGCCCAAAGGTATCACATTCTTCAACAACCTCAGCATTATGCTTTTCTTGGCACGCTTCTGAACATAAGAGGGAACGGCTCAGGAAGAACATATCGTGCAAGATCCCTCTAATATCTTAGACCATCAATTTCGATGGTTGCTCAGCGTCGTCTGACAAGCCACGCTTTGAGCTCGCTGAAAACGATGCCTAGGTGGTGCTGGTCATCCATTCAAGACAAGAGAAGTGCCATTTGCTGGACCCAGGCCCGGCTTACAGGCAAGTGGATCGCCATTGCCCCATAGGAGAAAATACATAAAAATACGCGTATTTTCTTCATACCAAGAATGCCAAGCCGTTGTCTCACGCGAGGACCACACCGAGATGACAACGACTCGTGACGAGATGCGGTTCCGGAAGCTCCCCGGGAGGCCGGAACTGGTCGCTTGCTCCATGAAGAGGCCACGAAATTCGTCCACCTCTGCAGCTGAGAAGCCGGTGGTCCTGAGAAGCTGAGAACCCCAAGACCGGTGTTGAAGATCAATTTGCTGTGTTGTACTTGTGACAAGTACAGCTCAGAGCTGCATGGCTCATCTCTGGCATCAATTGCGTTCAGCAAAAACGTTGCACAGCAACGCTGTTTCAGGCACCCCTAGTCTGCAATGCAAAGGCTGCAACCTTAATCAACAGCCAAAGTTCTGAATGGTATCCCTTTCCTTTTTCAGCTTGTCCAACTCAATGATGTCATGGCCTTGACTGCCGAGTCTCTGGTTCGGGCCGATAGTACACCACCATGGTAAGTGATAGGATCACTACACAACCAGCCAGTAAAATCTTTGAGCTTGGGAGCTTGATGAAAGCATCAATGAATGAACTATATACAACCCCTCAGCGCTTGAGAAGAATGGACATGTGTATAAATGTGCTACATATTGGCGGAAGGAGAAAATGTCGGGTGTCATTCTGAACGCACGCAGCATGAAGTCTAGAGCCTCCCAGATTGACATTGCAGGGTGTGATGATGTGATGGAGATGGAGCAAGCGGAAAGTGCAACTTACGGTTGCTCAAGCAAGTTTTTGGATAATCTGATAGGTTTGGCTACATTACCAGAATCCAGCTTTGTGCGCTTTAGGTGAATTCTCAAAGCAAGTCTAGTTGAGTCGAGTCACAAATCCGTGCCAAAGCCAAAAACTCCAGAAGCTTCACAGGACCCTTGTCGGCCAAGACTTCGCCTCGGTCAGAGAATGCAATGGCAGCCACGGCCACATGAAAGTGGATGAGTCAAAAATCAATGTCAGTTAGGACCTAGTAAAGCCACCCTGTGAAAGCGCTGGACCAAGGGGCTAAGCTTTGCTCGATTGTCCTGCAAAGGGCCATCATGGTCTGCGCGATGTGCACAAAAGAACAAGTGGGCACAGCAAGTTGCTACACTGATCATTCAACGTGTGTGATTGTGCGTGCATGTGCGCCTGTGGACTGGCTGCAAGAGTCTAAATGTTGTCTCAATCAAAAACAGCATGGACATACATGGGCATCTGACCAATCACTAGTCCATATTGTCGCCAACTACGCCGACCTGCTACCAAACTGGCAACTGCCCACCATTCATCACCATTCATCATCTCCTTCATGGCACTCTTGTCAGCCAACATGGGAAACTTCTCTGTCAGAAGCCGCCTGCCGCTGCTCGCTCCACATCAGTGCTCCATAACACTTGCAACAAAGCCTTAAACCGTACACATCCGTATGCCAACCTGTGTCCTTCAATTTTCAGCGGAGCCTGAGGTCGAGAGGCCGAATTGCATTGCCTCGCGCATAGGCTTGGAAATCTTCTCGGAAAGATTGAACCTCCTCCTGGGGTCATGTTTCGCAACAAACTCTGCTTTTTGGCATCCTGCATGAACTTCTCTCGGAAACAAAGCAAAGAAATTGACTCAAAGGCTGCTGTCCTTGCCAAAGCCATGTTGGTTCCTCACCTGGTCTCTTTGGCTCTCTCGTACTCGTATCGCCCAGGGTATGAAGTTCATGAAGCTGACCTTCGCAAGTTGAGGGCATCTATGCAGCTCAATGGCTCACGAGCACTTCAGAGAATTGGGCTCTGAGTCATGGCTACCTTGAGTATAGCAATTAATGGTGCTTGTTTAAATATATAGTTATCTGTGTATACATTGGTAAAATAAATATATATATATAGCTAGGCTATATATATATATTGGGTCTATCCTAATACCTGTAACAATGGATGATGATGGTTAGTAAAGGCCTTGTTCAAAAATAGTAATAATTGTCTACTGACGGTTACAGGTAATAGGACAGACCCAATATATATATATATATTGTATATACACAACTATATTTACGTGCCTTTGTACCCTCAACACCGACCTGATCTGCTCCAGGGTCGCCCATTTCGGCTTCGAACCTCAGGAAAGGGACTGAGTACTTCTGATGTAAGTGTGGCCCAGTTGAAAATGGCAAGCAGGATGACATCATATGATTACAGTAACTGATAAAAATATCAACTATCCAAGAGGCAACTTCCTCAACTCGGTAGCAGCTTCAGTGTTGGGTGTGTCATGCACCACCTGTCGTAAAGCTGTCAAGAAAGCATCACCGATTCTCCTTGCTTAGCTGACCGCGCTGCGATATCCGTACTCGTCCGAATTGTTTCTTCTCCGACAGTGTGCCAGCATGTCAGGATGGTTCAAGCGCCTTCCACATCTGGCGAAGCTCTGTGTCTTTGAGGTGGCCCACAGCGCGAACAAACTCCTGCTCCTCATCGTAGCTGTTCAGATCTTTCAGCGTTTAAAGAGAGAAGGGGACACTTTGGGCAGCATGGAAGGTTGAGATCATTGTAGATCAAATGCACACATGTATAGGTGCCCTACCCACAAAGCCTACCTCAACGTATCTTCATGTCTTTTGAGCCGCTATTTGCAATAGCTTGAGCTCATCAGGAGGTAAACGATGTTGGTGACGATTCGAAGTTAAGAACACCTTCACATCTGGACATCTCCCAATAAAGAACCTCATGATGAGAGTACAGTTGGCGCTTCTCAACCGACTGTCACCAAAAAAACACCAAGCCATGCCAGGCCATGCCAAAGCTATGCTTGATTTGGGTGGCCTCCAACATAGGTCCGCTCTCAGGACTCTTTGGCGTGCCTTTTCTTGGCTGAGCGGGCAGCGTGGTTGTTTGGCAAGCAATTGCAAGTGCGCTTGTAACGGTCCCGTCTCGCTCAGCAAGGTTGCTATTTCACTTGGACTGGATGTCGCTGTTGTGTTGTGGCCCGTTGTGTGTGTGATGAACCAAGAGGTGTTGCAAACGGTCTACCGTGTATATACAGAATGCCTTCTCCTGTGATGTTCACGCCTGTGTATTTGGACCTGCGCTCAGTTGTATCCACTTGTTTCCTTCCTCTCGCGCATGTTGCAGCTACAAGGTCTACTTCGTTATGTTGTGATGTCAATTGTTCTGCTCATTGTGTGCTTTTTCCTATGTTGTACAGGCTTGTACTGTCTGTCTGGCTGTCTGTTTCCGTGCAGGTTTTAAAGGTCACACCACTCACCCGATTGCTGCATTAAGGAAGGACTACCACTCACTTCACCCGTATACGCCGTATACAGTGGGTAAGTTGCCATCGGCCTGAGGTAAACTTGCATAAATGCCGCCTAGTGGCGTTCATCACGCCAGAAGCGTTGCCCTGACACTTTGTTGGCAAGAGCTGCTAGTATGATTTTCTTGGTGTCCTGGACGCTGCAGGCCTGGCCTCAACCAAATACATGACTTGCCTCACTTCGTGGTAGTGAAGGTTGAAGCCCATGTTCCGCAGCATTTGGAACATCATATCGACACTCACCGTGATGTCATCTGTGAACCTCGGCATGGTGAAATGCTTGGTGTAGCATACAAGGGTCTAGGAGGCTGCAAACTGCCACACGCCGAAGGATGTGATATCAAAAGGCGCATATCGATGTAGTTTCAAGTGTAAAACACGTCGCATTTCACTGCATTCTCGTCAGTTTTCCGCCTCTGTGTTGCAATTGCAGTCATTTGCGGTTCCCTACCACTTGATACATCAACGCGGGCATTAACTAAAATCGCTGACTGGCTGGATGCGTCAACTCAAGGAATCAATTGAAGGCATGTTTATGGTGCCCTTGCACCCGGGATACTTTGAGCACCCCCAGAACTTGGAGCCATCCCTGCCGTTGGTTCGCACACTCATGCAAGCGGCGCACTTCGGGCAATCAGGGCTGCGGCTTGTGGGCGCTGCCTGGCTTGCATCTGAAGGCATGTTTATGGTGCCCTTGCACCCGGGATACTTTGAGCACCCCCAGAACTTGGAGCCATCCCTGCCGTTGGTTCGCACACTCATGCAAGCGGCGCACTTCGGGCAACGAGGACTTGTGAGTGCCTGGGGCCCCTGTGACAGCTCACTGGTGGACGTGCCTGTAGTCCTGTCTGATGGCTGGAATTTTGGGGGTCCATCTGACTCGATGAAGACTTCCGCTCGTTTTCCCTCAAACCTTGGGTCATACCTCTGCAAGAAATAAGGTAGAGCGGGTTCCTTATGCTCCTGCCTGTGAATGAATCCCAGGTAGAGGTTGGGCACTCGCACTGGAACCACAAGTTTCCCTTGAAGACGTCTTTGTGCTTCTTTGATGCACCATAGTCGACGGTTCCCTTCCACAACATAAAGCTCTCCATGAAATTGGACAGCAGTCAGGACCAGCTCTCGAACCGCCACCTCGCCGCGAACGAGTTGGTCGACCAGCTCCTCCAACTTGGTGCCCGACTGTTTGCCATGTTCAAGTGTATCTCCGAATTGCGCTTTGGCGAACCGCAGCCGTTCGCAGTCAACATACTCCACATCACCTCGCCCGGAGATGCCCTTCACTGCTGCAGCTGCTTCCAACAAGGGCCCAGGGATGTGCAACTTGTCAAGGAGCTCATTTTTGGTAGCTGAGCACAGGGGGCATTTCAGTTTGGCTTTCAGGCATTCAATGGCTTCATCTGTCTTCTGTTTCTTCCTTTCACTGGCGGATGCCTCCCCAATGTTTCTCTGGAGCTTCCGCATGGCACCGTGGAATTGGTAAAGCTCACTTCTCAAGCATGGCTGCCAATGCTCCTTGCACTGGGACAGCTCTGCTTTGAAAAGAAGCCATGGAAAGCTCGGATTTGGATCGCGGCACTCGGTGCAAACTCCTTCATCCACATATTTCAGGTGCCACGAGGCTAGTGCCAACTGCTCTGGGGTGATGTCCTGTTTTTCTGCCTGCCTCAAGACATTCTTCCGCATCTCTAGGAACCACTCCCCTCTCAGCTCATCATAGCAGGCGGTGTAAGAATTGCCCATTCCCGCCGCACACTCTGCTTTGTTGATCTCGATGGCCACCCTCTTAAGGAAGTCTCCTCGCACTTCTTTTGCCAGCATCTTCATCTTCTGGCACTTCTGTGGCCCATGTTGATCCAAAAGCTCCTTCCAGGCCTTGCTCAGATCCTGGTCTGGGCTCGTGTTTCTAGGTGCTTTTGCTTCATCAAACTCCTGGTTGGCTTGAAGTGCCTGACGATAGCACTCCCCCGCAGCTGTTGGGGAGGGTCTTTGTGGACCTCCTGGCTTCTTCATGAAATCCCACTTGGGTTGCCGTGCCAATTTTCCCAGTTTTGGGCAAGGCTTCCCCTTCTCGACATCCAAAGATTTTGAATAGGCAACCGCTGTGCGTCTGGCTTGGTCAGAGCAGGCTGCCTTCGGCCCCTCCCCTGCAAGCATCTCCCACTGGTAGTGGTGAAGCCCAATCCTATCTTTGAGGTGGTATTCTGATAAAAAGTGCGCGTGGACATCTGAAAGGCTCTTCGCCTCAACGTCTTTCATTTCAGCCTCAAACTCAGGCAGGAAGCAATTAGCCGAGTCCTCACCACGGAAGGAATTCACCAAGCGCTGCTGCGTGATCACCTGAAAGTAATCGCCATCAAAGTCCCAAGACAAGTTGACTTGAAGCGGCCGACCTTGCTTGGAAAAGTAGAGCACTCCAGGAGCACATTTGGCACGCAAAGCCGGCGAGTCCTTGGCAAGAGCCAGCCTCAAAGCGTGAGGGTCTCGATCAGATAGGTAGTTGACAATGACATGCCCGGTCAACGCAGTCCACCCGATCTCCTGCAAAGGCCAAACAAACAAATGTTGGCCACATGTCAATGTGTCTGTTTAGCGTTCTGCCAACGCCCGCCCGCTCAAGAACTTACGGAGAATGATATACCAATTCTAAGTGCTGGTGTCTGGAGGCCTGGAATAGTGTCCACCAGCAGTTGGTCTAGAGATCTAGTGGACGGGAATTGTGTTGCGGTGACGAAAATGACATAAATGGTGCTGGTGCAATTACCGGCATCAAGGGTCACTGCTCGTGTAAACTTGTGGGGATGAGAGCCCAGTTTGGTGTATGGATTCATGAGAGCGCAGGCTGGTTCTGGACTTGGTAGAGGACGCTACTAGGGGCTCGTGGCCTTACTAGGGGTTCTGGCCTTACTACTAGGAGCAAGGACGCTACTAGGGGCTCCTGACCCTACTACTAGGAGCAAGGACGCTACTAGGGGCTCCTGGCCTTACTACTAGGAGCAAGGACGCTACTAACTAGGGGTTCTGGCCTTACTACTAGGAGCAAGGACGCTACTAACTAAGGGTCCTGGCCTTACTACTAGGAGCAAGGACGCTACTAGGGGCTCCTGGCCTTACTACTAGGAGCAAGCATGCTACTAGGGGCTCCTGGCCTTACTGCGAGGAGCAAGGACGCTACTAACTCGGGGTTCCGGCCTTATTACTAGGAGCAAGGACGCTACTAGTAGCTTTTTCGCAAGTTACAGCCAAAACCGTGAGACCACATGAGGCCTTAGGAGCCCGCCCTTGATCCAACTTAAAACGGCTAAACGGCTCAGGCCCAAGCCCGTCCTCCGCTTCGCTGGGGACCATCAAGAAAATCTCATTGTCTGTCAGCTCCAGGTCATTGCCTTCTCCTTGTGGCTCTGGGTGGCCACGAGCAGACCAACACCCTCCAAGCTGCACCTGTTTCATGGCCCTCTCCAAGGCTCTCTTCTTTTGTCGCAGAAGTACTTCCAATAGAGGGTGTTGACATGGGTCAAAGCCGGAGAGGAGCATTTCCAGAAACGTCCCTATGTAAGTCTTGCTGCTCCAACCTCGAACATGATGGCCTTGCGTCTCTGCCTCCACCTCAGTTTCATATTTGTCAAAGTACAGCTGGTGGAATGCACCTTCACGGAAGTCTCCCTGCCCCATCCTAGTCACCTTTCTCAAGAACCTCTTCTGCTCCTCCACGAGGACCTTTGGGTCACACCCACAGGCTTCCAACCGAAGGATCACATTCTGGCCAAGAGAAGTAGGCCGGATCTTGCTGAAATTCAGCACGGAAAGGTGTTCCTGGGAGAATTCTGCCCCTCCAAACTTCAACATGCTCCGTGGCACAACGAGTTTTCGTGTCCCCTGCAGCCGCTTTGAGCCAAGCAACATGCCTTTCAAGCCAGCGCACCTAATTTGTCCTGAATCGGTCACTGACCGACACAACCCAACTTCTTGCTGGCATGTCTTGGAGGCCACCGCCAAGGCTTCCAGGATGTCTGGATCCGCTTCGCCCCCTCCATCGTCTCGAATGACTCCATGCACATCTTTGAAGTCCTCGATGACTTCTATCTCCAGCTTGCAGACCGGAATTGAAGCGATCATCGAAGAAAACAGTTGCTTGACACGAGCTCTGCAACGGAAGCCTGGATTTGGTATGTCATCACCAGCTTTCTCGAGCTTGAAAATTGTATTAAAGCCGAGCTGCTTGTCAATCTGCTCTCGACCACCACTGGGAGGACTGGCTAGCCAGGCACTGGGGCCGTGTGGGTATGCATCTGCCTTGCCTGAGCAAAGTTCTTAGAATCCGGAAACTGCCCTACTGTAAAGAGAGTCTCAACACACATTTACATAGAAACTCGAGGCATCTTGGAAACATGGGAACTATCAAGGGCAGTATCCGATCTCGTGGTTGGCGTAGACAGAAAAATAAAGGGAGCAAATCGCAGGACACTCTTTCTACTTGTGGTAAGCTGTGACTATAAAATTAATGGCGGATCCGCCCTTAAATCTACTACACCGTGCATCACCTGACCTAAAATGTCTGTGGATTCTTGATTAATGTCGAGTCGCTGGAGGACACAAAGAAGTAACATCTGCCACGATAGGGGAAGCCATTCTCTCGAAATCGTTCTACCAGTTGTTCTAGCTGAGGGCTCTCGGATGGAAACTCCATGGTGATGAATTTCCAACCATCCTCTGGCCGTAGCTTCCACTGAACTGGGCGATAGAATTGCTCCCGTTCCTCGATCAATCTAGGAACTCCATCTTTAACCTTGAAACACCCAACAGTGAAGCGGCCAGGCTTTTCTGCCAGCTGCTTCAACTCGTTCTCCGAGCTGTCCGTTGAAAAGCTTGGAAGCTCCCACGAGTTCTGGTCAAGATCGGGGAAGCACCAGTCAGAAGCTTCCGGCACGATGGGACTGATCGGAGAGCTGGGAAGAGGACGCTCTGCTGAAGCTGCTGCCCGCGGATCGTGCGAAGACGACAAGGATTCCTGGAGCCTCAGGAATTTTCGCTGTGGAACCACTTTCACGCCCTTCTCTTCCAAATCCTCCTTTGTGATGAGTAGCAGGTCCTTCACACATGAAGAAAACATGATGAGGTGGCTCTCAACCCTTGGCTTGACAAACCACTGATATTTAACGCTCAAACCAATGGCCAAGCGCCACTGTCCTCAACTTCTTCGACACCCCAATCATCAAGAAATTGGACCAAGCAAGCGAGGCCAGCTTCTGTCAAGCGTGTTTCCACTCGCTTTCTCACCATATCAAAGATGCGCTGGAGGTATGCCGTTTTTGAAACTGCGACACCCACATGTCAATAGTCAGTCTTGATCATTGTGAAATTTGCTTACGCAGGCACAGCCTGCCCTTGATGCATGCAACATATTGCAACATCATGCAACCACCATGCCCTGAGCCAAATGTCAGAAATTGCCCTTTTTATCCAAGGGGTCTATGCAAAGCTACTGTCATGACCACTGCCACGCTTCATGAAAATCGCACAAGTCCAAGAAAGAGGCTTTTTGAAAGTTTCCTTGGCCTCCGCCACTGCAGACAAAGTAAGACCTGCCGTCTGGCGCGTGTCAAGTCTTTGCCACTTTTCTCTTTAGCGTACTGAAGTGCCCCCTGACTAACTTTCTTTCGAGAGCCTTTCGGTTGCCTTTCCTGTGCGAAAATGACCGGCCTGACTGGCGGCGATAGATCTTCAGAAATCGCCAAACCTCTTCAAAGTCTAAATCCTCCCAAGGCTCAAGGGACAACAAAACAAGTCAGAAATGTTTGTTCCAGACCCTTCTCCAGTTGCACGGGCTAGTACTAGCACTGGTAGTCGCAATCGCAGTCGCACTCGCAGTAGGAGGAGTAGTAGTAGTAGTAGCAGCAGCAGCAGCAGCGGTAGTAGTGGTAGTGGTGGTAGTAGTAGTAGTAGTAGGAGTAGCAGTAGCAGTAGTTGTTGGTAGCAGCAGTAGTAGTAGCAGCAGCAGGAGTAGTAGTAGTCGTCGTCGTCGTCGATGATCTTTGTAAACTGCATGCATCATATTGTGCACTTTCACTTTGTGTTGAGGTCCCTCTCTTGAATTTGGACACTGTCTAACTTTAAGCCCACAAGAGTTTGGTTCCAGGTGGGGTTCTTGACACTGAGCTGCAAGTCTACAGTTAAGACCTGTCTCTGCGTCCTGCTCTGGATTGTCGATATCCAGTTGCTGCAGGGTTTCAATAATACCTTGGAAAATGGCATGACAACTTCTTCTCAACACTGACTAATCTGCTAGTGTTCATTGCTGACATGCCAATTCCCAATCGCAAGCAACGGTACACGCCATGTCGGGCAAATACCCCAGGGATTGGATCAATGTTGCAATTTCTCGCGCATTGAGGCCGGGCTCGCCATCCGTATCACATTCCCTGTCCGACCCGCACACATCTCCAAACGAAGCCACACACGCTACATGCCGTTCTCCCATCCCATGCCGAAAGCTTCCTAGCTTCGAACTTTCAGCATGGCAGCAACCAGCTGTTCTGATTGGCTCGGGAAATCATTGGAAGCACTCTGTTACTTGAATTGTGTGCTTCAAAAAACTTGGCTCATGGTGGAATTCAAGCGGCTACTTGATACGGTGGGCCTTTACATCAGCCTGCTGTGACTGCTGTGACGTGTCCCAATCCCAATCCGCAAAAATTGATAAAACAGTATGCCCATCGTCCCCCATATGCCCGCCTGAAGTAGTTTCGGATGTAATTTGTGTCTCTCTCCCGAATCTTCCTCATGAACACCTTGTGAAAAGCAACACTGGAGTCAAAGCATCTCAGCCTTACGCAACTTTCAGACAACCCATCTACAAAGCTCTTGAAAGAACCACAATAATATGGCAGTCGAGCAGCTAAGAAGTCCTGCTTGGAAAGCTGATTCGTTTGCTGAATATCGACCTGTGCAAAGCGTGTTGGCTTCAACCTTGGGCAAATGCAGAACAAATTCCGCAAATAGCCAAGCATTGTGACGAACCTCTGCCAAGAGTTCCTCGAACTTCATTTCCTTGGAGTAGCCGAGGGTGACCAGCACGCGACCAACTTCCAAGGTATCCAAGGAGCCTCGAATGTCTGGTGCGATCAAACATGACCGATCGGTTTGTTGACCCAACGGCATCGACACATGACGTGCGTCGCACGCAAAGCGCGCAACAGCTGTGCGTCTCCGAGCGTCCACTGCCATCGCCATCGCATTTGTCAAAAACATCTTCAAAGAAGGCACGCTCCTGGGCACGATGCGGACGAACTATATAAGTAGGCCACAACTCTTCTCTAGCTTTCTGGTGCAGAGACAACCCCAAACCGCGGAACGGCTGATATTTGGTTCAGAGAGGACACTTTGCCAACCACAGGTCATCATATTCATGAGTCCATTGATTCGCACTTTAAAAAAGGGTAGAAGCCCTGGAGATGTTAGATCAGACCCGCGCAAAACTGTGCTCTTGGACAAGAAGAATGCACGGCATTTCCAGCATCTCCGTCGCACCTCTCGAGTAAAGCCCTGTCTTTCTCTGAGAATCTCCAAGACCTGAAGGCGCCCGAAGCACCCTCCGCCGGCGAGCACATGGCACCCGGTTTTGGTTTTCAAATTTGTTGGGGCTCCCGGCTCGTTGGAAGGCCGTGAAGTCTAAGCCATCCTCTAGCCTGCCTTCACAGGCTTCCTCGGTCTCGACGCATAATTGATCAAAATACGGCAACCTGTTCGAGCTTGCTGATGAAGGAACACATCAAATGACACAAGCCGGCTCATGAACTCTGAGGGTTACTCCATCGCAAGCTCAAAAATGACATGGTGCAGCGGAAAAATGCCCTGCGGAAGCGCGACAGATTTTGAAAAAGTAGCCACACAGGTAAAGCTTCAAAACTGTCTGCCCAGGCCCGCACTTGCCTAACAGCTCCCAACAAAAAGCCAAAACGAGCGCATGGCGCAGCATTGCCTATGGCCTATGGTACATTTCGTTGAAAACATCCTTAAAACCAAATTGTTTTGAGCCACCCACCACATGTCCTGACAACATCTCCCACCAGCAAACCATGCACGAAGAAACCTACGGACCTACGGACCTACGGGGCCTGGGACTCGAAGAGTGAGCCGAGCTCCTCAAAATCGATTGTCCCACTGCCATCGGCATCAAAGGCCGTGAAGGCTTCCTCACCGACCCAAGGGGTGCCAAGGGTTTTTCGTTGTGACGTGCGTAGCCAATGCAGTTGCTGCACAAGTCATATTCCTATTCATAAGAGTACAGCTTTTGCGAGCTCCTCTACATCTCTTGAGTCTAGTTTCTTATAGTTTCTTCCTTTGGCACCGCCAAGAACAAAATCAATCAAACAAGGCACTTTAGCTCGTTGCTTCTCCAGCTGTCGAAACTTGGCAAAGAAGTACATAAACTCGTTTTGATTGATCGTGTTGTACCTCGCTGCGTTGTACAAGTCGCCGCACAAATGTTATGTCTACTTGGCACTCCCGGGCAACTGTACGTTTACAAGAAAGCCTGAATGATTGTCAAACAAGGCCGATGAAAGGCAAGAAAGGCACCAGCGATTTACTCACTTGAACTTGAAAGGTCGGATCATCAGACCATGCCCTACTAGCTTCTTGCTACTAGTAGCGATTGCCTCCACCCTAGTAGCAATGGCCTCCAACCTAAGAGTGATGGCCTCCGACCTACTAGCTTCTTGCTACTAGTAACTAGTAGCGGTACCATGAAAAACATGTTGCCCATACTTCCAAGGATAATGAAGCCATGTGACTTGTAAATGCTCCTGTATGCCTCGTCTATGAGGCTCTGGACTTCCTGAGCTGCGGGTTTGCTGGACTTCTGTTCTTTGTTCCTGGCGAGTTCCTGGTGATCTCCGAACGCCAAGTCGCCTTGGTCACTGTCCAGCCCACCAAGCCCAAGGCTTGAGGCAAACTGTCCCGGTGCAGTTCTTTGGCATCCGACAAGCCTTGGAGGCTTGGGGGACTCTGCGACATGGGACGACATGGGCACAGAATGTGGACACGGACCTGATAGAAATAGAATTGATACGCGGCACCCTTTGTTCCTAGTAGCGTCCCTGTTCCTAGTAGCAAGGCCAGGAGCCCCTAGTAGCGTCCTTGCTCGTAGTAGCGATGCCCTTTGTTCCTGGTAGCGTCCTTAGTGGCAAGATCACCCTGTTCTACTCAAGATCCACTCAGAACGCAAGTCGTAGGAAGTGCCCTTAATCCTGAGGATTGAGGATCTCACGTTTGAAGGCCTCCGTCAACCGTGATCGCAAGATCGCTTCTGCATTGGCCATGTTCTTAGACGCTGAAAGGATTAGCTTGCACAACTCACACTGCTGCTCCACTTGGAACTTTGGGCTTCATAACGGGCTCAACAGCGCCAGGTGCTTGTGCCAAGGTTCCTTCAAAGCAACACTGCGTTTTGCGCCTGAGCAAGGGCTCTGACCGTTCCGCTTTGTGGTGCTTTGTGACCATTCCGCATCACTGGGCCGTCGGTGCCCGTCAGACTGAGACTGCTGCTGGCATCACCTGAGCTTGTGCTTGCCAATTGAAATCCATGTAAATGTCTTGCCTTTTCGTCTGATTCTTGACCTACTTGGTTTTCCGGAGCATTCGGCAAGCCTGCTCTGTTGTGTACAGCTATGGGGCTCGTCTTTTCCAAATGCCACCGGTCCTTTTCTTGCTTTTATCTTGCTGATTTCCCAGCCTCGCATAATGCCCTGTCTGGACCTTGGTGAATCACGCCCTGTGCTGTGCAGTGACACAATTGGCCTACATGGGCAGCATTGAGGCCGCAAGCATAGCTGATCTCATCAGTGAGTTCCTCCCCTGCGAGTTGCCACCTGAAAGCTGCTCAACATGTCACGACACAGTAAGAACAGCGATCAAAGCCGGTGCGCAACCCTTCCCCCCTTTCTCTGAGTGGGCTTAACTCTCTGGCCGCCTCATCTAGACATTGCGGACTCTTCCCTTTTTCTTCTCTGTCTCTCTCTCTCTCTCTCTCTTTCTCTCTCTGTGTATCTCTTTCCCACTCTTTTCTTGTTTGCTTTTCTGACTCTCTCAATCTTTCGGCAGTGCGACTTGTCCGCAATGGAAGTTGAAAGTCTTTCCTCCATCTTTCTCTCCGTTCCTCCCTTCAGCACAACTCGCAACCCCTGCCTTGCTCACCGTCCTGAGGCCCCACGTATGGGTGGGTGTGGGTGTGTGTGGAACATGTACATCGTGCAGAGCTTGTAGGCGTGCTTGTGCGTGGCGCATGCACTTCATGAACCTCTTCTGGTAGGTCGAACACGTCCAAGACTTGTCTAGATCACGTGATCAGCAGACCCCAGCTATGCTCTGCTGCCACACATCTGCATGAATATGCACTGGCTTGATAGTCCCCCCTTGTCCCCCCCTGCCTCTTCCAGCACTTCGAAGCTGACTCCTCACAGCATGCACGGTGCAAGTAGCTCCTCTCAAAACCTTCTTCCAAACTCCAAGCAATAGCCCAGTAAAATGAAGAACATGCATGGACCTGTGACCTATTCTTACGCCATGGACACCAGTCGTAGAAATCTCACCAATGTTCAACCCCTTGTTGATCTCAAGCAGCCCCTCATCTCAAGCGCTTGGTCACGACGGTCACCTCTCCTTGACCCAACTGCGGAGGCATGCGAGTTCCTCTCCGCAGGGCGGACTTGGCCTCTAACTTGCCAGGACGCTACGAACTCCAAGATCCATCAAGATGTCCAAGTCTAAATTGAGTCTAACAGATCTAACAGAGTCCAACATCTACGTGCTCGTTACGGTGGTACCAAGCCACGGATGTCAAAGAACTGCTCGTCACGGGTGAAGCTAAAGACACGGATGCAGTTGGTGATCCAAGAGACGCACAGGAAGAACGTCTGCCTTGGGGGCACATGTGTTCCCTAAGTGACTCACGTCCGACGCTCCCACTCAGCCACTGCAGGCATTCACTTCAAAAGGCGGCGACAAAGAAGAATTAACGAGTATTGAATCAATGTGGTATTGATTGCTGGCCTGGGCCACCAGAGCCGTCAACCCTGAAAGGTACTGTATATTCGAAACAAGCTAACCGAACCATCGAATTCTTTGGGATGACGGTTCCCCTTCCAGGGAAGGAAACTTCAAGCAACAAAGAATAAGCTGACACTATTCTGAAATGTGTGCTGGACTTCGACTCTCCTTCCTTCTTGTATAAATATATATTGCTTCCTGTCTGGCTTTGGTTGGCCTGAGGCTCACACTAACTGCGGGGCTAGTCTCGTCCAGCTCGGTAATTATTTCAGGAGCAAGGGCACCAGCCTGTCAAGGAAGGGCGTGGTATGTTCAACCAGGGTATATGACATTCATTTGATACCCCTCCGGCTCACATCTTGCGGAGACTGACAGGACAAGCTGCTATTTGCTATCTGATTATCTGATGCTATTTGCTTCTGGCAACTCTAGTGTCCCATGTAATACACTATATAAATGCGCAGTGCAAGCACCAAAACAGCGCACGTTGTTTTTGTCCGCAGGTGTGTTCAGCGGCACAAGTTCATGCCTTTTCTACAGGCAATCGAGGATCCTCGGTCTTAATCTTCTGCTCGCCGAGGAACTTGATCACCTCTTCCAAGTTGTCAATCCATTGAGAGAGCTTGGAGTCGAGAAAGTTCCACTCCTCCTTCTCAAATTTTCGCAGGAAGGCGGATTTCACGAGCACCTTCCGGTTCAACTGGTCGATGCGCCCATCGATGACCCCCTCCGAGATGGCACGGACGACCCAAGGCTCTACACCACTGGGGCTCTCCTGAATCTGCTTGGCAATTTCATCCAAAGGCAATTCACACTGTCCTCTGGCCATTGTGGCCAAGGTCAAGAGGCGAATCTTGGACATGGCTTCCTGGAAGTTGAGACCATGCTCATCAAAAGTCTTTCCATGCTTTTTCTGAAACTCCTTGAGATCATCCACAGTCCCAGAGAGGAAGACCTCACACAGTGTCACTAAGGCACCCTGTTTGGTGCTCTTCAAGGCCTTCACACTGTCCAATATCAGGAGGTCATCAAATTGAATGTTCACAGGAAGGGTAATGGCATCCTTGATGAGCTGAATCGTCTGGTCTGCAACCTCGGGTTTGGTCAACGCATCGGTGGCCTCACCCTGAAAAAGGCTATGATACATCTTCAAGTACTGGAAGGCCTCCTGTTTCTTTCCATATGTCCTCATGTACTTGGAGATGTCTGCATACAGTTCCCGCTTGTCCTCCATCTTCAGGTAGGCATCCCAATCAGCCATCCAAGACTCCAAGTAGTCAAGGTAGGGAAGAACCTGGTCGAACATGTCGGCCCTAGCTGCAAAGTCCAAAGTGTACTTGAAAACTCGGTACCTGAACTCAACCGCTGGGTTGTTGAAGGTGTTGTACAGCATCATGAGCAGTCGTAATCGCAGCTCAGGCTGCTGCTCAGTGTCCGCGCTGAACAGATCACATAGTTGCGTGGTGGCTCTGTCCAAATGGCTAGCATCCTCCAACAGGAGCAGCATGCTCAAAATCAGGGCAAAGAAGCTCTCAATTTCCTTCAGCCGCTCCTCTGGCTTATTCTCTGGAATGGCTGAGAACAAAGTCTTGCTATGCTCAACAAGCAAATCGAAGACTGGACCATAGTCGTACCTCTTGCTCGTTTCTTGAGCATCCTTGAAGTCTTTCTTGAATCTCTCAGTGAATGCTCTCTCTGCTTCTTGCCCTTGCTGCTGTAGCAAGAGTCTTTGCAGCCACTCGGCACCCTGCACAATAGCATCATCTTCTCCCTCACCATAGTTGATATATGTGGCCATGCTCGTTTGGCACTTCACACCGGCCACAGCTCGGAGATGCTAGCAGTTTAAGCCGGAATGGCTGCCCAAAGCGCCCCGCAATTGCTGTGACTACTCCATCCACAATTTTCTGCATCTTCTCACTGCTACACTGCTACACATGGGGAATGGCAACAAATCACTGCTTATGAAACAGTCTTGCTTGCAGTTTGATTGAACAACAAATCGATTGAACTCCTTGTCAAAACCACCCTCCATTCCCCGCAGCTCCTCCCGCACGCGCTTCACATTCACGTCAGGCCGCTGCACAGGTTGGCTTCCAAACCTGGGTTGCTGCAGGTGACGAACATGTTGCATCACGCTCTTCAGCCAAATGATCAACTTTGTTCAGACAAGACACACTTCATCCACGCTTTTGGACCCTCCTGGCTTTAGGTCGAACTGCTCAAGCTTGAAGGTAGACCTGCAAACAAGGCCAATCACGCCAACTCTGGACCAAGCAGACCGGTGCACCAAACAAACCTTCAAAGGGTAGGGGGATGGATACTGATTGCGCCTAAACGAAGGCACTGAACTGCAGGAAATTCAACCAAAAGGCGAACCAGCCAACAAATTCATTCCTAGCATGATTGAAGGATTATATTTAAAGAACAAATTGAAGGATGAAAAAGCTGAGGATCGCTTTGTCCTGTTCCGTAGGTCAGCTAATGGATCATAATGGATCAAAAAAATTGATCAAAATGGTAAACAAACTCCAGCACTCTGTGCTTCAGCTCCGCCTCCTCAACATATGGCTCAAGTCCGCACCTGATGCCGCCAGCACATGACTTTTCATGATAGCTCCAATCGTGCCAGGCTAGGGATCTTCCAGTGTCACGTGAATCCCTCCGGCTTTCCGTCCACATCCATGTCATGTGTCAAAGGTCCAATCCGCCGGCTTTCGGCAAGGCACGAAGATCCCGCATGGCCACCTCTCCGAGCTGAACTTTCTTTTTCTCCTCCGATCAACGACCAGGGCTCCGCAAGGTTTTTGCCGCTGGTCTTGGGACCAACTTGGCGTTTGCTGTCCAAGCAGCTTGCAATGCCTTCATTACACACCCACACGAGCAGTATGATCGGCACTTGTTTCTGACCGCTTTCACAACGCAGCGCTATGCTGCCATTTCCGGTCCTCAGGTGCCAAGCTGCTTTGAATCTTCTCCTGGCAGTGTGAAAGCATGTGAGAGCCAAGGGCGGAAAGAAATCAGCCTATCCAGATGTTTGCACACATGTGGAAACGCAATACGAAGCCCAAGGCGAGCTTTGCCGGGGTCCTGCAGCTGTCGAAGGGCACTGACAGCTTCCATTGGTCGTGTCCGTCTCTGGAAGCTGCTGGGATGCAAAGCTTTCGGAACTGGGATGTCGCGCCCTTGGTGCCGTAAGAGTGCCGTCAAAAGGTATTCTCAGAAGAGGGGTTGCAACATGTTCTTGAGAAATCCATAACAAATACCATGATAATCGATCTCTTTCTTTCGCTTTCTCTTTTGCTCTCTCTCTCTCTCTCTCCCTTTACCCCAAACTTCAGGCAGGGCGCTGAGTGGACCCAACGGCCCTTGACTAGCAGATCTGACCACACCAACGCTGCTGTGACTGGAAATTCTTGATATGCTCGGGCGACTCCTCGGCAGCGTGTGCAAAACAGAACTGTTGATTTCCTGAGAGCATCCAAGGTGTCTGCCACGTGCGCGGGCGATCCAGCCAGCAAAAACACTTCTGATTTACAGTACTCAGTACTTGGGTTGTGGACCACAAATTTCAGCCTGAACGGACCAAAACAGCTTCTTTAGTTTGGGAGCCGCACCCGATTTGTCACCATGCATCACCTATTCCTCGCAGCAATCAGACTTTTATTGTCTGATCGTGCCACACGTTCTTCTGCACGTGCCCAATTCACAAGGAAGATTCTACAATCAGCCATGACTGGATCGTGGCGACCCCTGAAGACCCTTGCAAAACGCCGAAGGTCAAGCTTGCTTTCCACCCCAAGCCGAGCGACGGGGTCCGACCAATCAGCTGCTCAAACTCGAGTTGCTTTTCCTCTATACTTGCCTCAACAACAATCGAATATGTCGGAATAGCAGAATGGCGACATATAATGGGTATATATATATATATATATGCGTATATATATATATATATGCAACTATGTACATCTATGGTTCTTTGTGTTTTCAACTGTGTGTGTGTGTGCGTGTTGGATGTGGCTTATATCGTTGATGGCGGTCTTGATTGCCATTTTTTGTGCATACCATGTGCAAAAGGGTGGGAGAGCCTGGCTCCCAAAGTCATCAAAATACCGGCTCGGATCGGTTCCCAAATTCATGGAGGCCTTTAGAATGGGTGATGCACAAACCAAACCACAAGCCTTTTGAATGGGGATCCTATGGGATCCTTGCACTTGTTTTGCTAACTTGCGCCGCTACCATGCAATACTGTATCAATATTGACCTGTGCAAGGAGGCCACCTCCAGCTTCGCCAATTCCTCATCGGTGATTGGCTCCTGCTCACAACTGTTCATTCAGAGCTCGCTCACCCATCTACAGCAGGTTCAAAGTAGATGGCACAAGTCGGAAAAAATGGTGCTGTAGATGTAGATGTGGATCTGAAACAAAGCCTTCGGGAATTCAAGAAGTGCCTTAAACAAGTGAATCCCGGTATGTGGCATGGCTCGCGGCTGAGAAGGTCAATCATCCCGCTCCAGCTTCTCTACAGATCTTTTGGACCACAACTTCTCAGGCCTTGGCAACCAAATCTCCATCAAAAGAAGTCTTTCCCACAGTTTCTCGAAAGAAACATGTTTCCTGCCTCGCCATTGCCAGCATCGCCGAGGCTGCGGAATGTGTGTGGGGAGCCCGCGGCACAGGTGCAAATGGAAGGCGGGGCCTAAAGTGAAATCGCTTCTAGTAACAAGAAGCTACTAGTAGCAAAGTGCATCGCTGCTAGTAACAAAGACGCTACTCTTCTCACCATTCGCATCTCACCATCACTGTGGAGAAATCAAAGGCCCTGCCTCTCCCGAGGTCGCTCTGGAGCGCTCATGGCAGGTTCAACTGCAGCCTGGGAGGATCCAGGAGGGGTGGGCGTTTGGTCGTTCTGCTCAATGTGTCACTCAAAGTGAGCTCAATGCGTCACTTGAGCTCATGTTTTGAACAACATCTCCACGTTGAAGGCTCCCACAGAAGTTGGTGCCATACGACTCCACGACCAACTCAACACCCGGCGAACCTCTTCAACAGGTGGAGCCTCCTCGCTCTTTGCCTCGATAACCTGCATGGGGTGGACCCTCCTCCATGATATCACCCTGGTGCCAAAAAGATGTTGACCCTGGTGCCGCACTGTGGTCCCAGCCTTGCCCACCTTCGACTGACGCTTTCCTGTCCTCAGGCCAAGCTCCAAGTGGGGTCGAATGTGCTGGCACCGCAGCCAAGATACCGCAGCCGGTGCCCACGAACATCATACTTCTGAGCCTTGGAAGCTGCAAGCAAAGAACGACCCCCACAACCACAGAACCAAGTCTACCCTCCGTCAGCCAGAATTACAAGGACAACCCATACGGGATCCCAAGTGCTCGTGTGCATGCCTAAGACGATACTACATAAAGGAAGGGAAGGGTCGCACACTGAGCAGCGGAATGTTAAATCACAGCTTTCACATCAAGCAGTCCATGTTAAAATGCAAGCTGATACATCATTAAACCTTTTCAAACGGACCCCGTGCTTTTGTCAGGTGACCACCTGTTCTCCAGATGCTGGGGCACCTTCTTCGCTGGGCGCACAAGCTTTACAACACATGTTTACACTTTGGGGGGGGGCCACACCCATGGCAAACAGAAAGGGTCTTCTTGCCAACTGACCTTACGACGCCAAGACTTCCCGCAATGAAATCAAGACCGATCATGAAGCACATGTGATGAGTAACCGATCATGAAGCACATGTGATGAGTAGGCATTTGTCTATTCAATGGGCGCTATCTATTGTGGTGCTGGGAATTAGCCCATAGACATCCATAGACCATAATTAACACTGCTACCCTCAGCCCCAAAAATCTGATGCCAAACAAGCGACTGCTCGTTTGGCTCCTTTTGCCCTGGCCTTTTTCTTTGGCTTTGGCTGATTGAGTGCACGCCTGGGACATCCAGTGAATCTCGGAGACGAAATTAATTATATAAGTTCTTCCACACTCCTCACTAGTCATCTTCAGCTGAGCAGAGAAAAAGCTCCAAATTAAACCGCATGTTTTGATCCAGGCTCCCAGCTCATCATCTGCCTCTGGCCACTGTGGTGCAGTGCTTTGCAAATCCTCAGGAGAAGCCCAAGGTAGGACTGATATATATATATATATGTGTGTGTGTGTAATATGATGTATCTGATCTGTGAATGTAAATGTTTTGTATATAAAACAAAAACTTCATCCTATGAGGTGCCTGCTTCACTGAACCTCTTCAACGAGGGCAAGATGGAAAGCGATGAGCATCACTCAAAAAGACTCTCAGAAAGCACCAGTTGCTCCTAGTAGCTTCTTGTTCCTAGTAGTAAGGCCAGGAGCCCCTAGTAGCGTCCTTGCTCCTAGTAGCGATGCCCTTTATTCCTAGTAGCTTGTAGCCAAGTCTCTGCGAACTGAGGCTGTCCAATGAGAGCTCCAGCCGTCACTGCCTGGGTCACCGAGCTGATTCTGCAACTGTCAACGCCGGAGTGCTGGCCAGTATGGATTCAAAATATCAAAAAAATAGTGTCTTGACAGTTGATTCGCGCCGGGAGACTCTCGCCACTTGAATCGGTAGATGCCCGACTTATGCAAAATGTTGCCATTGGAGCCAACTGCCCATTAGCAACAGCAACACTTAGTTTCAACCAGTTGGCATCTGCAAACCAAGGAGCCGCCATGAGCGGGTCGGGCGGGTGGCCACCATCGCTTCGCGATTGGCTGATCACCGCGTGAAGAAAAACATGGGTGACATGGTTTCTCCCCACCAAATAACCACTGAGGCATACACCAGAGCTGGGTCTGTAAAGCTGGGCTTGCACAATAAACAGTTTGAGCTGGCACTGCGGAAAATGGTGTGCTCAAGTTCCCAGCTTTAGTGGCTACATGTATGTTGACGATACTTACAGTAACCTTCTGCAGTGGTCCTGATTGCGCCTGCACGACTAAATGTCCCTCACCTCTAGGCCAGCTTCTGACATACTTCCACACTACTCAAGTAAAGGCATGCGCACCTCAATACATATCATAGACTTTGTGCATACATGCTAATATTGCTAATTGCACATCTGCATGTTCATGGCAATCACCATCCCAGTCTTGTGTCCGCCTCAGCCAACATGACGTGCCCGAGTTGCTGGCTGCAAGGTGTGGAGTGGCCGGCCCGGTGTGGCCGGTGCTGTGGACTGCTGCGATGGCACGGGCGTCACCATACAATTGTTCACCTCACCAGGTGCAAGGGCTGAATCATATGGCACACTAAAAAATCAAAAACAAACTACTGAACAAAGATATATACATGTGCTTTGATCTATATATATATATATAACTATATTTATGAGATATATATAGCTATATGTGTGTATATATATATATATATTCACTCTCTTTGAGGGCAGTTCAGCGAGTGCACTGCACGCCTGCCAAACAGCCAGGGCTTGGCCAAAAAAGAAAGATGGCGAATACCTGGCATAAAGGCAATGTGTCGACGCAAAAGAACGAATATTGGTGATGTTGTTTAGCTCTGCATGCTCAAAACCATCTTCTGACAGAATGATACAGAATGCGGGCATGTTTGCGTGTTGATGGCTGGTGCCCAGATAGTCCAAACTGTCATGGTGAATTGTCCCCTTTCTACCTACCTACGACTCTTTGACATGCCCAATCGCATGTCTCTCCCTTGGAGTATCTCTATTCTATTGCTACGGCTACAACCGTAGCAGCATTCGGAGCATGAATATATATTTTCATATAAGTGTGACAACAGCTGATGCTGGTATTGCATGTTTCTTGGTGATTGGTTATTCAGTGGTCTGTCTCGGGGTAACATTTTCACTGTAGCAAAAGCAAGCAGCAAGATCTTCAGGACACATCTGCCGCACAAAGACATGCCCAAGAAAAGGGAACGGAATTGAATTCCTCCCAGAACGCATTCACTACACAAGAATACGCCCCAGCAATCTCACGAAAGCCGCCAGCTCAGCGCTTCGAGGACAAAGTGCGGGAGAGCCAATCCAAGCCTTCGTAGAGTCCGTCCCCTGTGGTGGCACACGCAGATTGAATGAACCACTGGCGGTGACGCAAATTGTGAAGGCCAAGCTTCTCAGTCACTTCTGCTGCTGTCATTGCCTGAGGCAGGTCCTGCTTGTTGGCAAAGACCAGAAGCACGGCATCTCTCATTTCGTCCTCGTTGAGCATCTTAGTAAGTTCTTCACGCGCATCCTCAATACGATCACGGTCATTGCTGTCAACGACGTAGATGAGCCCATTGGTGCCTTGATAGTAGTGGCGCCACAAAGGACGGATCTTGTCCTGGCCTCCTGCAGGGAAGTCAAAAATTGCACAGTTTTGGATGCGATCATACTAATAGGAACAATAAGCTACTAGGAACAAGTGCATCGCTTCTAGTAACAACTGCCTTACTATATAGTAGTAACAAGAAGCTATTAGAAACAATAAGCTACACATCCCCGTTCAGCGCATAGCTTCACAGCTATCTTCTCTCGAAGCCACACACCCCGCATCGCGCACACTTGCCGCAGCCCTGACGACCTGAAGTTTCATTACCCTAGCACAGCTCACCCTGACGATGTCTTGTGCCTCCCGCTGTACATAGAACTGGGACACTCAACCCAACTTACCATGCACTTGGTGCTATACCCATCCGTCCCAAGACCATCCCGACCACCCAGTGTTTCAACGCACACCTTGTTCACTGCCGCAATTACGCAGGATCTTGCGCATCCTGTGGCTATGCGTGTACTCAACCAATCCGTTTTGGACAACATGTGCTTTCCTTCTTGTAACGGAACCTCTGAGAGTCTGGCTGTTTCCATTACTCGCAACTGTCTCAACTAAACTTCCTATACAATAACAATTTGAAGATTGTCCCTCCCCGGACTCGGGTCAACGGCTGAAAACAACCCTCACCTACGTCCCAAACCGTAAAGGACAAGTTCTTGTACTCCACGGTCTCGACGTTAAAGCCGATGGTTGGGATTGTAGTCACAACCTCGCCAAGTTTGAGCTTGTAAAGGATCGTCGTCTTACCTGCAGCATCTAAACCCACCATCAAGATTCGCATCTCCTGCTTCCCGATCATTCGCTGCCATATCTTTGTGAAGGCAAGGCCCATGGCGGCTTACTGCGTCTCACTACTGGCAAAACCTGTGCAAAACCAACTCGAGCCAGTGAGAGCGCAAGGAGAGTCCAAAAAGCCAACATTCCAAAATGATCGTGGCATGTTCTTCCAGCAGGAGCCGTGGAAACACAAGAACTTGTGGAGACTCCACACATGAATTCCCACTCGCTCACTCTACATGCCTGACCAAGCTGACTTTCGGCCGGGATGCTGGATCAGCTGAAAAATGGCCATATCCGACATGAAGAGATATTCCAGAATAACAGAAGGGATCACCACCTTGGTCACGTTCTATGGTTACCTCTCAACATCCGAGCAAGCGCGCTCCTTATTTCTTTTGGGATGCTTTGAGTATCTATGTTCAAGTTGCTCAGCTGCCAACGGTTGTGGCCTAAGTGCACGAAAGCACGTCGTGCTTCCAGCGCACGTCGTCACGTCGTGCATGGAGAGGCAAAGGCAGTATGAATATTAGCTAGCATGTCATCTACCCGAATCTACCCCCTTCCATCATTTATGCACCTCCACCTGTGTTGCAAGCCCAGAAGCTGAAACACAACATTATTATATATATATATATGTGTGTGTAATTAAGTAGTACTTAATCAGCATGGTCTTCCCACTTGTCTTCCGGTCTTCCTTGCCAGGCAGCCACTGTGAACATCGTCCAAATCACAGAGTTCAGGCTGTTCTTCAGTATCATGTGCATCGGATGCCATGCGAGTGTATAGACCTCAAGGGCACGTAACATGACCTGTTGGCAGCGTTTTCTCCGAGCACCCGGCGGCGAGAAGACTGAACCACCAGCTGCCCGGCAAGTATGGGAAGGTGGCCTCAAACGGCCAGCACCACGGGGCATCCATGACCAAAACTAAGCGGTGGCATCGTCAGAAGTCGGGTCCGGTATGGCCCGAACTCGAAAGATGGTGCATAATGTTGCTTGGTGGTAAGTGTTTTTTCTGGCAAACAAGTGCAATTTGCATAATCCGGCAGTGTTGGTGAGCGCACCTAGAAGGGAAAAACAAGCAAGCGGAATTGGCGGAGTCTGAAGTACTGGCTGGCTGGTTATATATTTATCAGTTGCAGGTGGTTTGGGAGGTCAAGTGAGTGAAAGCTTCAACATGGAGGGGCAGCTGCCTCAGACTGAGCTTCCCAACCCCGCTGTGATCTTCAAAGGCTCCGCTGACCAAAAAGACTTGGGCCTCAGAAGGCCCAAAGCTCATGTGAGAGCAAAAATGGCTTTCAGGAAACAAACAATTGATTTCTCTGATCTTTTCTGCTTCATGTGCCAAAGAATTGAACTGAATATTCAATCAATGGATCGAAGCTACCCAAGTATCCTGAGCACATCCGCGGTCTGTGGACTGAGTGCATGAACGGTGAAACTGCTCCAGTCCCATGCACTGTAGGAGAAAAAGACGACGCACAGGAAGATGAGGGTGATGACCTAGGGTCTTGCAGCCAAAGTCATCTCTCACGCAGCATGACCAACACAAATACAAGTAGGAAGCAGGGTCTCGCAAGCTGTCCCAATGCAAGCCTTTGCCGGGTGCCCAGCGTAATACGGATACCACGCCATGACGCGAACGACCTCAAAGTTGCAGTGTCAGTGTATCTTCACTACTTGTCTGTCGTTAAGCCATTGCATTTCTACGCATCCGGCCCAGCTCCCCTCCCAATGAGCTCTGGGCCACTGCGCTGACAATATCTTCCTCAAGTTGTGCCTGTCACTGCTAAACACCACATCTGCTGAACACCACAGCCTTTTCCTGGTGCTCACAAACATGCAAGTGCCTTGCACCAGGTGAGGGTTGGAGGAGCGTTCAAGAACCATACTCATGACTTGTTTCTCATGCTGCAAGCTCTGTCCAATTTTGGACTGACAACATCTGCAGGCTCTCCATGCAGGCGGTCAGTGAAAAGTGGCCAGCTCACATTTGTGGGTGGCCATGCGATCTGATCGCACGAAATGTGTCAGGCTTGAAGGAGGCCAGCGCTCCGCTAGCACTCTGTCTCCCTTTACATTTACGCTTGCCGATTAAAGGAGCCAAAGACATCGACAAAATACCTCCTTCATGTGATCTGTCTTCCAGATCGAGCAAAGCAGGTGTGCAGCGCAACACATGACGAGCACAATTCTCCTTTGTTGGGCAAGATTCATCGATTGTTCTTGCGCAACGCAAATCAATTATATACAGAATGATGCCACGTATCCATGCGAGCCTTCCACGCAGTCAACCTCCTGCATGTGGTCCGTAGTCCAGGGGAGGCAACTGCTCCACCTAGAAGCACATGCCGACATACAGACTGGCAACAACGGCGACAGTTGCTCCATGACTCATATGGGAATCACATGCCTCATGGCACTGGTTTGCCCACCTTGCTGTGGAAGACCGGTCCCGCAGCGATGACTAAGGGTGCCAAGCCCAGCATGAAAGCTGCACCAAGGGTCTTGGTGGCATTCGCCTCGAAGTATTGGTACCACTGGAACAAGCGATAGGCAGCCTTAGGACTGTGTGCTTTCAAAGGCTGTGTGCTCCGCTGCTCACGGATGTAGTCTTCTATGCACGCCCAGAGGCCAGCAAGCCTTGCACGCCTCAGCTGAACACACATGAGAAGAGTGCTCCGTAGAGCTTGACTTCAGGCTATTCGCGGTGAGCGTTATCACGTTAGAGTTAGTTAATGCAATAGCAGTCTAGTGCATTAGACGCTTACCGCACAACAAAGAAGGAGACAGCTCTGCACTTACGTAGGTTCTTCTCAAAGCAGGTACGTGATCCTAGCGTCCCAGGATCATATCAGCCATGGAATGCAGCCCTCTTCGTTGGACAACCAACTGCATCCATGGGGTTGTCCCCCTGCTTCTATACAGAGTGCAAATTCAAGCGGGTTCAAGCTGAATAGAGTAGAATAGGTTAGTGTCCCTTGAAACAGGGGTTGACACACACACACAAGGAACCGTGTCGGCGCAGCTAGAAGGACTCAATGCAAACGTTTTTTCTGGAAAGCCGCAACGCTGCAGCACAAAGCGTGCTTGTCCTGCGTTTTTTTTCTTTTTCGCTTTCTTGTTCTGTTCTTTGTTTTTCTTTTTTGCCACGGGTGTGGAGGGGTGTTCGGGCGTGCATTGACTAAACGAGCCTGGATGCCACCTAACAAGCCTGAAGAAAAGAACAAGACAAGCGAAAAAGCAAGGAAGAAGAGAAAGGTGCAGGGGGTGCCGGGGGGGGGCAGGGCGTGCGTTGACTAAACGAGCCTGGATCTCTCCTAACAAGCCTGAAGGAAAGAACAACACAAGCGAAATGGCAAGGAAAAACAAGAAAAGGTGCAGGGGGTGCGGGGTGGGGTGGATGCTCTTGCGAGCGAACGGCACGGGCCCGTAGGCACTGGCCGAGAAGCCGAAATCGGCGCTTGTAAAATTCAGTAAAAATTGAAAAATCGGAACATCTCCACAGTTAAACAGTATTCCAGGATAACTTACAGTGGACTCTGCAGTAAAGCTTCACGTGAACAGGGTGAAACGTTTCTGTCAGTCACACTTCGAGTATGAAAGTTCGGCAGAGAATTCAGTGGGAAAAACTCAGTACAGCACTCCTACGAAGAGGAGAGGAAGTTCAACGCAGTAATGGCGCCCCGTAGGGTTCACACAGCTTACCACAGTGGGAAGAAGCTGCGAGTCACCCGTAGAGGCTATTCGCGGTGAGCGTTAGCACTTTAGAGTTAGTTAGTGCAATAGCAGTCTAGTGCATTAGACGCTTACTGCACAACAAAGAAGGAGACAGCTCTGCACTTGCGTAGGTTCTTCTCGAAGCAGGTACGTGATCCTAGCATCCCAGGATCATATCAGCCATGGAATGCAGCCCTCTTCGTTGGACAACCAACTGCATCCATGGGCCCATGGGGTTGCCCCCCTGCTTCTATACAGAGTGCAAATTCAAGCGGACTCAAGCTGAATAGAGTAGAATAGGTTAGTGTCCCTTGAAACGGGGGTTGGCACACACACACAGATATAAAATTAAGGTGACTCATCGAAGGGCTATGACCACGTGAAGCTGACTTGAATCCAAAGTGCGGAAGTGAAAATTGAGAAGCGCAAGCCGCTTTCCCAAGGTCCCATTGTCCAGGGTGGATCCTGCCCGCACGGCATTCAGTTCCGCCAAACGAGATCGAGCTTCAGAGTGCATCTGGGACGCTTTCAACTCTTAGCCGCCACACAGAGCAAGAAAATTCATGAAAACTCCAGGAGCCCCTAGCAGCGTCCTTGCTCCTAGTAACTAGTAGTAAGGTCAGGAGCCCCCACATTCACATTCGTTTTTGTTGGGGTCGTATGAGTCTTAGGTGGTCTTGTCTTGCTCCCCAAATCTTCCTGCAGCAGCGCACTCTGCCAGGATGGCGACTCGGTTCACGGCCGTGCCCAAGGCAAAGTTCGCCGAGCGGATCATGTTGAGGCTGCGGCCCACAAAGAGCAACCTGAAATCATTTTGTGCCAAGTCTTTTGGAAGTAATTGTTTTGTTAGTGCCGTGCCAAGCTTCAAAAGGCCAATGTGTCAATGGCACCACACGTATATTCAGAGGCATTGCAAACCTGCCTTCTTCCAACATCCAGATCAACCTAACATTGATCACACAAGCCTGAGGATACCGGCACATAGGGAACGAACTTGTTGCCACATGCCAAGGGAAAGCCAACCCCCAAAGAGAATTACACTCGATGCCACGGAGATGGCCATCTGGCATGCGACTCCTGCTCCCCAAATAGACCGAGAGGCTCTCGCGGAAAAGCGCTGGTGTCACCAAGGATCTTTTTGGCCCGGGCCTTCAGCTTGGTTTGTGCCTCGTCACACAGGGGCAATGGCATGACATAGGTGAAACTTCTCGGCGTTGGCAAGTTGACCGTTGCATTTAGGTCCTTTTGAGGGTGTGTTTTCATGGTTGTATAATACAATTTGTAAACTATGGTTCCTTATTTTTGTTTTTAACTATATATATATATATATACATAAATAAACAATATTTGTGCGTGCCACAGATACGATCACTTCTCGGATGATATACAAACATGTCAAAACCTTGACTTTGATCCACAAGGATCGGGCCTCGGCCAATTGCTTGGGAGTCATCTTATGTGGCCTTGCTTTCACCTGGGTGAGGCAACTGCGCATTGAAACACTCCACCCGACCCACGATGAACCACAAGTTAAACTCCAAAACAAGTAAACTAACGCAAGGATTCCGCGAGTCACAACCAGTCAAGATTGAGAAATTCACGTGACTATATACACGCCGCTAGAAAAAGGTTAGACTCATCTGCACAATCTCCATGTCTCTATGAAATCTGTCTCTTGTAGCTAAGGCTCCACCACATCTGGCGCACTACTCTTTCCACCAAAGAGCTGCGCCAGGTTCGCAAGGCGAGCACCGCCGAGCCGCACACGCCAGAACTGGGTCAAAGAAGCGAACAGTTCAGCGGCATCCTGCTGAAAGCGATGAGAGAGGAAAAGGCATCGAAACTATCAAAGGCTCCAACCAACTCTCTACTAATTGGTTTTGGAAGAATTTTGAACATATTTGAACACAACACCGTGCAAAACAAGAAAGTCGTGGAAACCCTTTCCGCGAAAAAAAGGAAAGCAAGGAAGAACTGTTTCTTGCAGACTGAGGCCCTAGCCTGGTCGACGATGCCCCACTGCCCGCAGATCTTCACAGTCTTTTCCGTGTCTCCCAGCGCGGCAGACACCCAAAAGTCGGCATACTCACGGCCTCCACAGCCAAAGGAACAGTCCGGGTCGAGCATCGAGCTTCTGGCCTTTTGATTCTCGAGATGTGTGGTGGTCGGATCATTGCCCTCCACATCGAAAAAGCTACTCCATATCTAGCAGTTGCATCATGTTGCATCTAATCGCAGCAGCTCTGGCGAAACGACATCCGTTATGGCTGTTTGGTCAGGCAGGAGGGTTCTTGGGTCATTACCAATTCTCATGCTTCTGTTGAGCATGGTGTTCAACACCTGAACAATACAGTTGCCAGGTGGTGATCTTGAATTTCTGCCGTGTGTCCGGAAACCTTGTCAAACTGCCCATGCCAGTTTATTGATATGTCATTCCTGGCACTGCCTGCCTGACAGTGTTTACGCTCTCCACTGACGATGACGGTTTGTTCTCAATACACGTGCATTGACTGCCAGGCAATCTTTTCGCATCAGTAGGATCAGCAGGGCGGCTTCGAATTCTCCGAATCACCACTACACTGCACCACTACGCTGCAGTAGCCCGCGTGGCTCGCAAACGGTTGATACCAAGCCACGTAGTTTTGGACTCAACTCGCAGTAAAGGCCGTGATCTAGCAGTACCAGCTGCCACCTGAGCCGGTTGTGGTTCGTGATGGTTCATGTCTCAAAGTCGTGAGGACTACCAAACCAAATAAACAAAGCAATATACGCACATGTAAAATATTTATACATATGTATACCACTATATATATATATATGTCCTATATATGTGTGTATGTGCAAAACATCTCGCACTCCTTTTTGTTTTGGTCGCGTCTGTTCTTTCATTGGTGTCTTAATATTCCTAATCGTGTGTCCATCATCTTGCACTCGCTTTTGTCACGGTATCCGCAGCATGTTGTTGGATTCTGGATGATTCTGGCCTCTGTGGCGAGCCTGGTGGGCTCAAGCGTACCAGGAGGTTGCCCGGATGAGGGTCACAATGGACATGTCCAGTGCTGAAAATCTGATAGCCAAAGACCTCAGCAAAAGACTGCGAAAAATGACATGCATGATGCCTGTCATACTCGATTCACCTCGCCACGCCAGCTTCAAAAACATCTTCAGGCACGCCATGACTCATGAGGCTGGACTTCACACACACATACTAGCAGCTACTAGCATTCCGTATTGACCAACATCCGTGTGCCGAAGGCCTCTGTAGCTGTGCGCATGATGTCCGAAGGCTTCAGGTTAGCCTTCTGCAGTGCAGCAGCATCGCTGGCCGGTCCCAGTGCATCAATCCACTCCATGACCAGGACACGATGTCCTGAGACCTTCCTTAGGGCCATGAGGCAACATGATGGCTAGGCATGTCAAGAAATGCATCTGAAATGTTCACCTCCGCAACTGCGCAGATTGCAACCACTTCGCAAACCAAACCATGCAAAAGGAGTGCCGTCCAGAAACTCCTGGACTTCAGGTACTGCTACCTTGCCCTTCAAGCGTCGGCAAGAATCCTCAAATCCACAAACGGCAGGTTCCCCTGTTGTCCCTTTCCAGTTCAGTCCAAGCATCTTACCTCGAGGACCCAAGTGGTCACATTACAAACATCAACTCGACTCAACTTGCTGCTGAGACGCTAGCTCTGCCTGCGCTCGCCTGGCGTGGGTGGCTTCAACACGAAAGTCTAACTCGTCAGCCAGCTGCTGCTTGGTGTAGTCATAAGTCCAAACCTCACGTGGCTATGTATGCGCTCATTGATTTGCTGGCAGCCAAGTAGTTATGTAATTAATTGTTACTACCTCACTACCTCCATTGTCCATTGAGCCATTTGCATCAGGAGATTCGTCCTGAGCTTCGGACCATGGGAAGGTCAAACGCACGCTCGACCACCAATAACACTAGCTTGTAGAGGAACAAATCCCAGCCATTTTGCGCCCGAATGTTTGGTTTCCTTGGCAGCTTGCATAGAAACCCATACCATTCTGGTAGCCTTAAGAATGAAATACAAGTGTGAACTGAGCACAAGCTTTGCAAATGCTGCTGCGTTTGCTGCGGAAAACACGCTTCCTAGAATCACAAGCGTGCTGAGTCTGAATGGGATTTCGATGACCCCCAAGCAGTAGCAAACAAACCATGTTGTTTGGCTGTTCTTGGCTCTGTCTCCAAAATAGTCATCAAGCTTCTGGACCTTCACAGCTACCGGCAAGCTTTCACCATTGGATGCAAACTCACCACGTAAGGTGGCACGATGTACTTGAGCAATACCTTGGCGTGCACTTCTGTCCTACCCTCGATAAACAGGTCAGCGAAACAAATGCTATGAGATTGTTTGGGAGGGTGCTGGCAGAGGCAATGGGCTCCTCCTGGAAGTCAATGAAAACATCCTCTAATGTCTTTCCCATTTCTGCTTCCACCACATCGCGCACCTAGAGGAACATGGAGAAGAAGCTAGGCTAGACAAGGCACATGCAGAGGTTCAAGTTGTGGCAAAAAGCTCGTGACACATAACTTCTCCCATCAATACATCTAGATTGCATGTTAATCTATAATCCTTCGGACTACTGCACCTGAGGTAGCGTGACAACAGACTGTGCCTGTGGAAAGTCAAAGGTTGCAGCTTGGTCATGCAGGCTTCGAAGCTCAGTTTTGTATTCCTCAGGCAGGACAATGTCCTTAGCAAGGCTGAGAGCACAACACCTCGCTGGTGTTCGCCTTGCATAATAACCAATATGGCTCTCTGGCTTACTTGAAAAATCTTGAAAGAACTTGCCAGATGAGCTTGCCAAATGAGCTTGCCAGCTTTCTTCCAAATGAGCTTCCATGGTGGACATGGCCTGTCCAAACTTGACGTACAAGCCTTCATTGCGCCGTAGGCAATCAACAAGCCTTTTTGCCACCCGCGCGTGCACGACATCCGAAGTTTCGGGGGTCCAGCAAATCTTATACCTCGGTTTGTGCCCCGCTGTGTTCCCCTCAAGTCCTCACTTGCAAGCCAAAGAAAGTAGTCACTGTCACTTTCGTGATGCCTGGGTTGAAATCTGGAAACTGCGCGCAGGAGGGTTAGGATTCAACTCAAGGACTGCTCACGAAATAACGTGGGCAATTCTTGGGGCTGCTCTGTCCACAAAGATTGCATTCACCAAGCTGCTGCCACAAAAGGTAGACCCCTGCTCTGACAGTTCTGGCTGAACGCTGCAGTACTTGATGCCAGTAGAGCTCCTCAGTCAAGTGGTGCAGAAATTCTTTAGACCAAACCATGACACGCTATTATGGAGTCGCCCTATTCTCAAGACAAGTCTTGGCTCCGAGGCATCCATCACATCTCTGATCACATCTGTGACCGCAACTGGGCCAAGTAGGATGCCGAACTCCCCCTAAACCCCATCCGAGGCACATCAGCTGCCCAAGTGGCCCCGCCCAAGCCCAGTAGCACAGGGACTCCACGTCGCAGGCTTCGCCATCGCACAGCACCGGTGGCCATGGTACTTCACCCGCCCTTCGCCTTTCTGTGGTGGGTCTCCCACTATGTCCGCGATTGTCTGACTCTAGCGAGTTTCTAACTGTTCTGGTTGGGTGTTCCAGATTTTTGAGGATGGTGTCCAGCCACACGAATCTAAGGTTGTGTCCGGCTTGTGGCTACTATCTGGCCCTGACGCAAAAATACATTGCTATATCTAAAAAATAAAGATATATATATTATATATATTATATATATATATATGTATTTATATTCTGACATTTTGCTCTGCAGCTAAAACTTGCTTCCAGGTCTGAGAACAGGATCAACCAGCACAAAGAAAACAGGGCATTGGCATGATTTCTTCATGAGTGCTTCATGGTGCCAGCTTCAACCCTCGACAGCCTTGCTCCCAACCATTTTTGCATAAGAGTGGCAGAAACCACTGAGTGTGAAGAACCTGAAGTCAAACGCAGCCGGTCAAACCACCACACACACCGAAGGGCGGAGGTGCCCGGAACCACGTAGGCTTAGTAACTGCAAGAGCTGCAGGAAGGACACCAGGTTTCCCCACAAGGGTGCAGCCAGCACACCCCAGCTGGCAAAAACGGACAAGGTGTGTGCCTGGCGGCATCTCAGGTAGGGAAACTGGAAAGCACGCATCTGACGAGAACCTACACTGCTGAGCCTCTTTCGGGGCCATGCTGCCTCCTTCTGCCAACATTCTTGTCTTCGAAGCGGCACACTGCATTTGCACTGAAGTTAATGGATCCATCATAAACATTCATAAACCATTCTTCTATATTCTTCTCCCTTTGCATCACCCATAGGTGCAAACGGTTGCATGCCCCGCTGTTGCAGCGTGCTCTTGCTAGTCCAACCATCACGCTCGAGTAAAACCGACGTTCGGTGCACGGCAAAAGTGAAGGATCATGTGGGGTCTGGAAGCACATGTTCATGTTCGACAGTGGGGGGGGGTGGCTTCACCATGTTGACCCATCAAGCTTTGTTCTGGGTGTCCCACTGCCCTACCTTTGTGGTATGGTTGTTGTGTTCCGGGTGACAAGCTACAAGTGAGGAGCAACACTGACACTTCAAATCACGTAAAAGAGCGCAACTTGGGGTACAAGGGACTCGATTGGAATCTAAGCCCGTGAAAACGCTTCCTCTGCCCCAAAGACGGCCCAGCTGGCCTGCCGACCTCGGTGCGGAAGGCAGGAAGGGTCACAAGAAGAGGCTCTGGCCATCCGCATGCACAAAACGAATAGCACGAGATACCTGTGCTACACAACGTCCGCCTACCCGGACTTGGACTCAGGGGCGCCAGCATCATCACCGTGCGCGCGTGAGGTTTTGCGCGCATCTATCGTTTTGATGATCTGTAGTTTGGTTCCATGGTTGTTCATCGACCTTTAGCAGACTCAGGTTTGGCAATTTGGACAAGTTCTGCCTTTGGCTGTCCAGGAGCGGTCACCTGACCGCTCCTTGCCCTTATGGAACCACTCCAACTTCAACCATGGAACTCCGTCTTGAATTGACACACTCCAACTTCAAACAGCAGCCACAGCCAATGATATCTAGCAATCGTTGAATGGGCATTATATAGGGAGGGCCAAACGCATGAGACTATAACTCAGCGCAAGCGAAGCGCAGGTCATCAAAATGAACAACACTGAAGCGCCTCACAGCAAGTCCTTCGAACGAAAGCATGCCGGGTCGGCGGCATGGGCGGCGGCAGAAGTTGCTCTCTTGTCAAGGGCCAGCACGCTCTTTTCTTCTTCTCCAGGAGCGTTTCGGCTCCGGCATGCACAGCTGCCTTCAACGGCAGCAAGAAGCTCGTAGGCTGATTGGAAGCAAGGTGCATCCTCATAGCCCTCAGGTAAACAACGATAAGACTGTTCCTAAACTCAGCTGCACAAAGGAGCCTGGCAGGGCCTGGACCCAGCAGATTGAAGCCAAGTCTTTCGACAACAGTTCTTCCAAGACATCCACCTGCTGAGCACTGCTGGTTGCGGACTTCCACCTGCTGGGTGCGTTAAGCTCCATTCTGCGTGCTGAAAAGGATGTCCTAGTACGGCTTCAAGGACCCACATGTGTTCGGCTTCATTGGGATGCAACTTGGGGCATCATTGGTGACACGTGTCAAGATATGATGGTTGCAGGGTCCTTGCTTCCGCACTTTGTTGGATCCGCAATCTGTGGCAAGCAAATGGATAGCTTTATTTAAGCAACATTCATTCGTTGACTAGTCTAGGTGCACGAGGGATGACTGAAGACCTCCCACAATGGCCGCGCCAAAACTACAAGAACAGGGTTACGGTCCATTCCTCATTGACGTTACGAGTTCCTTTCATGCTCTGGGAGGTCCAGGCCGAGGCTTCCAGTTTTGACGATTTTTAAATCGTGTTACTAGTAGCGATGCACTTGTTTCTAGTAGTGGGGTAAAGGAAGCCCTGGCCGCCTGGCCTGTCCGTGCAAATCGACTTCCCAGTCCCCCCTGATGCGAGAGCTGGCAAGTGCTAGAATCGCTAGAATCTAGAAACCGTCAATGAGGATCATCCCGGAAACAGTGGGACCCCTCCACTTTAAAAGGAGGTAGCCTCACAAGGATGTCCGTCCAACATTTGCACATGTCGCTTCAAATCCACACGCTTTGGACGTGCAGGTAAGAACTTTCGCCGTTTTTGTAGGGCTAAGAAGAACAAGCGGCATGGAATGCCATGGAACACCAAAATACACACCACCCCCCTCTTCAAGTCTTTGAGTCCTCCTCGAACAAGCTCCTGACATCAGTAGGTTTCTTGGAATGTTTCTCAAAGGAATACGGTGGCAACGCCCTCTAGTGCTCATGCCAACAAACATGTCGCTGTTTTGTGACGTACGTACTCACTATATGAGTTTGTGCTTGCAGAGCGTCAGACTCTTGGGTGTCAAGAATCGAGCAACAGTTCAAGGAGGCACGACAAGACCCAGACGGATTTCAACAGTCCACACTCACTTCCTTGAAGTTGTCCTCCCCAAAATTGTGCTGATTCAAGGTTCATGTTTCATGCGCGCAATATATGAAACTGATTGAAACTGTGATTTTGGGGAGGCCAGGTCTTTAAAGAACTGCTACATAGGAGACTGTACGATATGGAGAGATCAGAGACTCTCGGGAAATCCTCCTGGTCAAGATTTACCGGGGCATATCTTCCAACCCTTCGCAACAACTCGACTGTCAGACACCCATACAATGTCTGTGTTGGGGACTATGCCCTCAGGACTTCGGTTGCCGGAGAAGGATTCGCAGTTCATAAGCATCTGATCCTGATGATTTGAAAAGTTGACAGGCGCAAACAAAGAAGAAAACATTCGACAGTTCTGACAGGAACACAACACAAGCTGGATTCTTGCCCAGGGTCAAAGCCAGGTTCTGTCTCAAACTCCTCCACATGTATTGGCACGGCGGACGAGGAATTGACAGCTATCGCACAGTAGGTGTCGGCAGAGTAGTTGTGCGGAAATCCAGGGCTTGTGATACACCCCTTCTCATCGGTTTTGCAAGGGCCTTTAGTGACTGCCCACATCTTTCCATGGAAGTCTGCGTCTGGCACTTCTTCTCCTTAGCAATCAGACAAACAGGGTGTTGATCAAGCTTTTTGGGAGAGCACGTTGGCACAAAAAGGACTGCAGTGTCATGCAAGTGAAGCGTCTTAGAGGCCCTCCATGGCCCTCCCCACACTGAATGGGAAAAACAATGCAAAACATCTAGTGTACCCTTTGCACATACAAGTCGGTTTGGAATGCATGGCCTTCCCTTCCAGCCTAGTGTCTTGAAGCCATAGTGCGGTAGATCCAATCCAGGGCTCGGAAGACCCGGCCGTAGACGCCGGGGAACCGTGCAGAGGCACAGCCGAAGCCCCAGGAGGTCACGCCCCGTACCACGAAGGCACCGTGCTCCTCGCAGACCAAGGGCCCACCGCTGTCACCATGACAGGCATCGGTGGTCTGGCCCGACTCAGAGAGGCCGGAAGCACACAGCATCGAGGCGGTGATGCTGGAGTTGTGCTCCGAATAATTCTTTACACATGCCTCATGAGTCAAGGTGGTGACAGATGCTTCCTGCAAAATGTTGGGCCGTGGCCCCGTGGCGGCTGCTCCCCAGCCGGTGATGCTGCATCCTTGGCCTGGAAGGTCATCTGTGTAGGGGAGACATGCTAAGCCAATGCACTCGTTGATCGGCATAGCCTCCTGCAACTCCAAGAGAGCAAAGTCGTAATCCGACGGTGCCTCACTAGAGTACCTGGCAGGGACCAACAATGACCAAGCACCGAGAAAGCAAAGGACCGACCAACTCAAAAATTGCAGTGCAGCCTAACACACCATCCATCCAAAGTTGATTAACTTTAGTCAAAACTGCTTCCAATTCTTGTTTTCGAGCCTCGGGTGTGTTAGAATCCTCGAAACGTTGCGTTGGGAGATGCTATCCTTTCGCGCTTTGATGGCGTGGTTCCACTCACCGGCGACCACACGCACGAAGCCTTTATCGCACTTGCCTCAGAAATGTCACCGTCACGAACGTCGCGCACCCATGTGGACCATGTGGAAGTGCAATGCACGATCTCCCTCTCACTAGTGGCGTAGGTAAGCCTGTGTTGCAGCAAGAGACCGACTTGCTGAATACATTAAAGAACTCTTGGCATGCCAAACCACCTGGAGAATCAGAACCAAAGCCCACAAGTTTTCAGGCTTTCAAGTCCCTGGTGTCAAACCACCGTCAACAGGCCTATTTAGGCCCGCCGTAAATGCGGCCGCGGTGGCTGTAGGACCCCACGCAGTGGGCCGCCGTAAGGACCCACTTGGCATCAATGAGTGTCCCACCACAGAAGTGAGATTCCTGGTGGCCGAGCGACAATGCTTGGAGGAGCAAGGTACTGACAGCATCCCCAAACGTGGATGTTCAAGCATAGAGTATGACTTCTTAGTGTGCAGTCCAAATTCCGAGATACGTTTCTCTTCGCAGCCAGGCTTCTGTACTGTTCCTTCGAGTGTCATGCAGGCTCACCTGCCATCGCCAGGTGCATTTTTGTGCGCTCCTCCCATGCCTTGGATCAAGTTGAATAAGGTGGAGACGGTATGCTGACTAGGTATGATCAAAAGCTTTTCTCAGAAGGTGCTTTGTCGAATTGCACGTACAAGTTCTCTGCACAACAGCTCTGTTGAGGCAAGGTGCATAATGCGGTTTTGAAATCCTGAGATGGTTTTTGCATCAGTCATATCATGCGTGATCTTTCCAACTTGTTCTGGAAACCACCTTTGCACAAAATGGTTGGGAGGGAAAAAGAATTATCGGACGACTCCAGCTAGCTCGTTCTACTCCCTCATTTGGGGTACAGTTCAGCCACTCAGATCTGTCTGCGCCCGTTCTGTGTCTGTGGCCTTGAATTTGAGGAAAAAAAATTTTAAAAAAACTCAACCACGTCTCCTGGATGACCTCCGAGAACTCCACACTTCTGTAGGTCGCGTTGTCTCTCATTGGCGGCGCGTGTTAGCTCACTTCCGCGCAGGCCCGGCTCTGCCTGGCAAAGGCCTTGGTTCTGAACCACTGCATCAGAATCCATTGAAACTGCCAATGAGCACGGTGTGCTACTCACTACGAATTGGCCGCAAAGCGATTGGAAGGATTCGAAGTGCGATAGCTTCGGGCTTTCTTCTGTACAACAAGGTCCACCTGTATCCGCGTTGCCTCTTCTGGGTTCATCTTCGGGTTTTGCAAGGGACGGCTCCCCGCGAAAAGGAAACTGATGTCAAAACTTGCACATTGAAATTTAAAGAAAGGCCCAATCCCAACAAAGAGTCCAGAACCAAGGTGCATGGCCACAAGCTGACAAGCGAATGAGCTCTTAAAACGCTGTCAAGTGGCTGAGCCAAAGGAGCAACGTGTGCCAGCCCGATGCCATCTAAGTGTCTTTCAGGATCTGCGAGCGCAGAGCTGAAGAAGAGTGACTCAGTCACTTCGCCCACAAAAGGCAAAACTATGGAAAAGCGATCATGCCAGTGGTTTTTGGTGATCGATTTGGTGGTTTCAGAGTTGCTTTGGATTGAAAGCTCATGTTTTTGCTGGCTTTGCTTTCGGCTTTGGTGGCTTCGCTATTGGGGCCGCTTCGCTTGGAATCGTCGATGGCTTCGTCGAGACTATGAACCGAAATGGTCCCAGATATACACCCAAAAGCGAAGCTCGCAAGGCCTGAACAGGCTCTTTGATGAGATCACTGGACTGAAAAGCATTGAATCACTCGCCTTGAGATGTGCCTAGACCCTGGTATCTCTCTCTCTCTCTCTCTACGGGTTCTGGTTTAAAGTCTAAACCCAAGGTTTAATATCTGCATGTTGAACACTTAAGCCTGCCCCACAGCGTTGAGGCGCTGGCTTTTGACCTCCTGGACCGTCCAGGGATAGAAGTTGAAGAGCAGCACCATGCATGACCTGGCGCAACCCCCAACACCGGTCGGCTGTCAGGTGATTCAGAACCTTACTGTCTTGCATCCCAAGCAGCAAGATGAATCGAAGAGTCCCAAGGGCAGGAAACTGATAGAAATCCTCACCATGAAACAAGACCTTGCCAAATTTATACATAACACAGCAGGTCACAAAGTTGGCTTCGTGCACAGCATGTTGCACACCAAATGCCCATCCTGCCCCAGCTCGCGCTCAAACACCTCCCAAATCGATACAAAAGAGGAACTGCGTGCAAAGCAAAACGTTCATTCTCCATGTTGCTTTGTGACAGTTTAGCACCTCCTCTGCACACGAACAAAGCATTCAGCACGCACCGGATAGATAGAAATCGCATGAAAACTCAATGATCGGATACCCCTTGTGGGTTAACCCCCTACCGGCCCAGATAGCTGTAAAGACTTCACCTGCAGAAACAACATGGGATGCCTCTGAGCCACGCATCATTGGATCCTGCTCTGACCGGAGCGCTAGCAAGTGCTCCGCACCTAACAGGCGAAATCCGTGCCGATTGGCAAGGGTTTGACTCACTGAGGACTCACTGAGGGTTTGAAACGCATGTCTCAGCCGTGCTCGGAGTCTGGCCCCAAAGGCACCCAACAACAAAGACCAAGGTGACACAAGACAGCAACCTGCAAGCATTAAAAATCGTGTGGAAAAGTAAGGTATTTGACGGACATGTCCACTCACACGCCAGGCAAAAGTCTCACATACTAAATTCACGACCAAAATATGCGCAACGTGAGGGCCATGCATGAATTGAAGGCTACGCAAAACCAGATATCGCAAATACTCGTTCAGTTGGGTGACATGGCCCATGCCTTGGCACAGATGATTGGAAGCTTCGATTGGCCTTCGCAACACACGTTTCCATGCCGCAGACCCACATGCCAATTTCTGTTGGTTCCCACATGTTCAACAAAATCCCACAGTCCTTGGACATGTGTAGTCACGGACCAGCTCAGACCGTGAATAACCCTTCAATTTCCCTGTCAAATCGCCAATGCCCCCAGCCTGATCCGCTTGCTCTTGCGCCTTACGCTGTGCAGGATTTTCTTACAAATCTTCAGTTTATGATTATATGGCTGATGCCTTGACATTGGATCACTTCTCGCAATCTGCAACAATGCCTCATGTAATAAAAACGCAAACACGACGCCTGTGCCACTGCACCACTTGCAGCTTTGAAGGCGTAATTGTCCGGTACGGTAATCAAATGTGTCAACAGTCAAAGCTTTGAAAGTCCAGTGCTGAGGACCGAGGATCTTGCGCCACCAACATCTCCTTGAGTAAGTTTGGAAGTTGATCCGGTGACTGCCTGGTGCACGAACAGCGCAACTAGAAGATTCTATACATATGTGCCTGCATAATCTGCCAGCCTCGACCATGGCATTACCGAAGATGCCAGCATGCATCTTCAAGAGTCGCCCCACATCGCTCAATATGCCTGTAGCATTGTTGACCTTGGCACTCGGGATGCAAAAACGGTTCCACCCAAATCACGTCCGCATGCCCATTGGGCCGATTGTTTTGCCGTCATCAACCTCACACACGCCCTGCACGCGTCATCCACATCCATTATGCGTTGAGTGCCACACTGCGGAACTCAACTCCTGGCTGTTCCAAGTGTTGCCCGAAAAATTTGTGACCCCAAACTCACGCGGATGGCACAAATTCCGGCTCCAGCAAATTCAGGTCCATGGCTCCTCATTCCAAGAATCTGTTGCACCTGATGCACGGCCTCCGGATGGAACAAAAAAATGCGTTTGGCCCTGCACTGGTCGCCCCCAAATGTGCGCGCAACGGCCTTCATCTTCCCGAGGCGCTGGATGCAAAGTCCTCCAATCGCCGCAGCTGTTCAACGAGGAGTAAGATTTAGTTTGTTGACATGGACCGAATTTCACTCACAAAAATCGTCAAAGTTAAAATGTGTTGCTCTCAGGTTTATTTTGCAAAAATTTCACCCCTATGCCAACTTGACGAAGAAAATGCACTCAATTGCAATCCCCAAACAATGCCCCCAATTAACAATCATGATATCAAACTGGTTACGGTCAGATCGGTCAGGAAAAAACACGTCTGCACATGCCACCAGTGATTATGCGTGCGTTCTTCCACACAGAAGATCCTGGTCTTTTGCAGCTCTCCCGAACGGACGGGCAAAGCTGCTGCTTGCAGTGAGGCAGCTGCAAGAAGTGCTTTGCAAAGCCACCACGGCATGTCTGCCAACGCCTCAACAGGCTTGGTGAATCAAGCGCACAACGCACGAGTCACACAAAGCAAGGCTGGTCATCAACCCGATTCATGGCTGCAGCCCAGCCACTGGATCACGCCATTGAAAGGACTTGTGCTCAATGTATGGAATCGGTATCGGGTATCTCAATTAAACCTGGTGGCACCCCACCTCGAGATCAAATCCGAAAATGCATGTGTGTCTCCTCCCTGTTCTCCTGCCTTCCTTGACCAAGATTGATTGCCAATTCCATTTGGATTGCCCTAAAGCCGGGCCCTGTTGAGGGAGAGGCGGCTGGGGGGAAAGGACTCAGCCAGGCCAAGGTGGATCCCACGGAGGCAAAACTGAATGGGGCACGCATTTGGTCAAGGCATTTGGCCACGGTGTTGCACGCTGCGGGGAACGACTTGCACAGATGGGTGTTGAGGCAAAATGGTGTTTCTCCATGGCCTGCGAAATGGTCGGTATCATACATTTCGATGTGGCAAGTGGAGGCCTTGGCAACATGTGACGGAAAAGTGGATGGCGCAAAGGACGCCACACCGTGCCCGCGGACACAACAAACTCACGCCTCACTGCAGTTTAGGAAAACTGACCCAGCGCGCGTTTCCATACAAAATGCCGGCCGTGGAGGCCCCATGCCCCGTACAAATAATGCAACAAAAAAGGGCCCAGACCGCACCACAAGTCATGATTGAACATGTTTTTTCCCTCACTCCTTTTTACCGCGGGTCTGAGGGGGTGAAACGAATCCCTGCGTTTTTTTTCCGCAGGACGGGGGGTGAGACGAAACCCTGTTTTATACTGGCCAGGGTCCAACAGTGCTTAGTCCACGGTGGTGGATGAGGGCAGGCGGCTGGGAGTGGGCGCACCGTCTGTGTAAGAAGTCAAGAGCTCACAGATCGGCGGGCAGGGTCCGTCCACGTTCGTGGAGGCGGACGCGGGCAGCGTCAGAAGGCTGCTTGCGAAGGATCGCATGGCTGCTGCGGCCAAGAGAGCCGTCCATCTCGAAGTCAAAGTGATGGTAGCGGCGTTGCGTAAGTTTGGGGGGTTTGCTGCTGCCCTGTGTTTTGCCAAAAGTTTGATGAAACTTGTGGATTCTCGGCTCCAACGCCCCCCCGATCTCAAGTCCCAGGACGACGAGGCGAGAGCGACCATGTCCCAACAGTTCGGGGTATGTCCGTTCTGTGGCATGGCGAGCAAGGCGCAGGGCCGCACCTTGGCATTGGCCCTGGTGCCGTCGGGGCTGGCCCGTTGAGGCGAGCGGGGACACCAGAGTAGTGTCGACCGCGAGCTGGGAACCATTCCAAAGGGGAAGGCCATTTGCTATCACCTCTATCCGCCGTTCATCATGGCGGGTGGCTCCGGTATTCAAGTCTCGGACTAAGACGTTGGTACTCACGAGGGCCCCAGCCTCTCTGCAGATTCGGGCCGCTGCACGCTCCGAAGCCTCGGACCCGCAATGCTCCGGATCTGGGGCAAGCAGCCCTGTGTTCGCCTAATGGATCCAGCGGCCGTTGACATCGGCAGCGCGCTGGCATGAAGGGCAAGGGCAGTCGAACACGCCGGAGGAGCAGAAGGCGGAAGTGGCACGAATCCAAGACGAGCTCATGGGAGACAGGGAACAGGGTGAAAATTCTGGCCGCCAATGGCCCGCACTGGGGTTCCAAAAGAGCTTGTGAGGGAGCGGTGAGATGGGCGATGTGTTCCTGCTTGAGAACTGTGTCGGTGATGTGGGAGGCGTGTCGTTGCCATCCTCGGAGGGTGTCTGCGTGGTCACGGGGTGATGTTGGAGCCGGTGGTGCTGGTTCAAAAAAAATTTACTACTACAAACCTCATTCCATATAATTTTTGCATGCGTTTTGGGACCTGGAACTGTTCACATATCAAAACTGGTTTTCTATGCAAGAAGTTCTTGGAAAAACATGTGGGTCGTCACCACCGAGAACGTGATCATATCAACGTTTAAAAAAATGAAACATGTTTTGGTTAGTGGGGGATGGATGGAGGCCTTTTGACTTCCCATGTCCAGCGCACTTCGACCTTTGGCTGCTTTGATAGGACACGGTTCCCTAAAAAATACCAAAAACACAAAATAAGAAATAGACTGAGGCAAGCAAGACGTGCAGGGGACCCACCATTGTCCATTGCATTTTGTAAAGGGTTGTGTTTCAACATATTTTTTGAGGGTATCATTGCAACTGCGACGAG